AGATGACAGGGCCATCTGACCTGCTCCAGTATGATAAGGAATGTTTAAGTGTCCTGTACTATGGCTTGGAGAAGCCAGCTGGGATAGACCACCAGGAGGAGGATAAGAGGTAAATGAAGACTTTGGTACCAAAATTGGTTCACTAGAAAAACGAGGAAGCTCCTGTTGTTTGTCAGGATATGAAGATGTTCTGTACAAAGGCTTTGATTCTTGTAAATGCGCAATGGAGGAATGTGGCTGTGATGACCATCGCTTGCCATCATGATCAAGTGCAGTTTCTGTATCGTAAAAATGTTGATCAAGCCAGTTAGGAACTGGTTCACTAGAGCAATGTTGGAGGTGGTAGTGCTCCTGCCTTTGCTGCTCAGGATATGAAGAAGTTCTGTACAAGGGCTTTGAATCATGTAAATGGGCTAGGGAAGAATGGGGTCGTGATGACCATCTATTGCCATCAGTAGAACCTTCACTATCATAAGCATTCTGATCATACCAGTTAATACTATCCTCCCTTTGTGACCATTCAGATATAGAATCTGGTTACAGCAAAAAATCAGTCAACTGAAAAAAATATTGCATATATTGAAAAAGAAGGAATAGAGTGGAAGAGCTAAAAAGCCAGGAATACATAGTCAACTTGATTACAAGGTGCACATAAGCCCATCAAGCACAAATATTATGACGTGGATTTCACACACACACAAGCCCCCAAGATCAGACCTTCTGAAAATTCATGGTACAAAAGTCAATCCCTCTGATGAAATACGACAAATAAATGGCTTACAACTAGATCCCCTTCCAAAATTCTTAGTGTGACTGCTACAAAACACAAGAAAGCACAGAAAAGTTACAACATATTAAGTTACCATCAATTTGTCAGACCCCTTTCCTAATCAGATGAAGTTTTCAACACAACCCACCAAGTTAAGAATGAACTCGTAGCAGAAAACCCAGCCCTCTATCCATTAGCAAATAATAGTTCTATAAATTATCACAGGTTGTAAACATACATGAAGTCACGTGTTTTCTTCCTATTAAAAATCCATAAATAAAAGGGGCCTAATCCTGATTAAAAGTTCCAAGCTGCAAGTATAAATTTGATATTGGGTATTCAAACAGTAGTTTAAAGTTCAAACACAAAATTGCATTAGAGTATAATGGAAAAACATTTATTATAAACATTAAATAAAATAATCAAGAAAGATAAAGTAAAAGGTATATTATTTTTGTTTTTACATAAGAAAGAGCAAAGTGGGGAGTTCTTTACAATTGTTTTACTCACTTTCTCTTGATCCTCGTTCACCAATAACTCCTGCACTTCTTGGTCCACTCACAAACTTGTTCAACTGAAATGAAATTTTATAGTAAAATAAAAAAGATTCTTAATCTTCATATTGATATGCATATAGCAGAATTAATAAAGTACAGTGTTTGAGAAATTGAATAATAAAATCAAGTACGGAGGGACATATCAAGAGGAAATCAAGCAACTAATGCGTTTGAGATAACTTTATAGTTGATCCAAAAACATTCAAACAAGTTTGAAATGCAAAAGAAATCAAGCTAATCATATTAACTTTTCATTTAACTATCTCTTCCACTTTTCTTCTTTCTTTAATGAATGAGAAAACACCTACATAGTAAAACAGAAAAAACTAGCATGTTGCACAGAGAATCTTAGAAATAAAGTAGAATATTGAGAGAAGCTCCATTGATGAAGTAGCACAAATATCTTTAACCAACATCCTTATAAACTAAGTCTACTAACATAGTTGCATACTTGCATGTCATAAATTTTCTCCCACATTTCTAAATTCTGAGTAAGGATTGGCATCCTTGGTCCAACCTAACTCCAAGGAGGAACATATACAAAACACATATACAAGCCACAAATTTAAAGTCAAGAACTATTTGAAGATACTGATGGAAGGGGGAAAGAAATATAAGTGCATGGACTGTTGCACACACATAGATATGTATGGGACATTTATATGTTAGGATCCAATTGCAAGGTGTTAGAATCCTTTAGAAATGTTAGAATCCTATAGATATGATATTAAAATGAATTAGATTGATTTCATATTTATGCTATTAGCATAAAATAGGAAAAGTGAATATTATGTAATTGTGCTGTAATTATGCTCTCTTATAAATTGAATAGCTTCATTGTGGTCTAAACACACAGAACTCACCATATGCCTTCTCGGTTTTTCTGTTTCTCTCTTCTCAACATGGTATTCAACTTATCGTACTGCCCACTATTAAACCACCCACAAATATCTAATCTCGTGCTCTTAGAATGTTCAGTTCTTGACATGAGGAATGTACTAGAGACACTCACAAATAACCAATCTCACACTCTCGAGATGTCTAGTATAATGTAAATTATTTACACTTTACACTATGTTTTCAGAGGATGATTAACTGTATTAGAGGACGGTAATTAGAGGATTCAAGTGAATGTTGCTTGTTTGCTTCACCTAATTCACAGTGATTTATAGGAAAATATAAGTGGGTCCTCATGTTGCTTCTTTCACTGCTGCATTACTAAAATGCATGGAAAGCTACAGGGGCAAGTTCATGTTCTCTAATTGCCACTACTTTCCAAATTGCATCATCACACACTTTATAATTTCTTTTTATCTATTTGTCTTCTATTGATCTATTTAAAAATTATTTATAAATAAATTTTTAATATTATTTCCAATTTTATAAAATAATCACATCACATTTAGCTACCTTTCATGATTAATTCATAGTTATATTCATTAAATTTTAACAAAGGATATTTATGTAATTCATTTTATTACTCCATTAACTTTTTTTTCATATCAATTATAATTTTTCTACTCATCTCTCTTCACCTTCTAGTCTCTTTCGCTTAACCCAAACAACCTCATTTTCCATTTTATTCTCTTCTTTTCTTTCCTTTTCCACTCCCTCAAATCCACTCCCCCAATCCATTCAAAACATTAATTTAATTTTACGAAGATATCAATTTTTGTTTATTTTGGTCCTTCAGATGTTCCCTGGAGCTGTCCCTGATTTTGGGTGCAAAATATATCATGAAATAAGCTCTGTAATGGAAGAAAACCAAGACAACAAATAGCCCATCACTTGTAGCATTCTTTTTTTTTTTCTTCAGTCATCAAGAAAGCACATGTCAAGTAAAGGAATGCAAAACAAATTTGACAGTCCAAACAACAGAAAAGTGTAGGGCAGCATCACAGGCCAAATAAGGAAAATTCACTGGGATCGATGAAGATTAAAATGTGTAGTCTGCAACAGATAAAACTGTAAAATCAAGGAAACCCAAGGGTCAGCAAAAATTATTTACAATTGAGTATTCACTTGCAATCTTGTTCTCCAAATCATGCCTCAACTCATATTTGAATCATTGCATCAATCACACTACAGAAGCACAATTTTTATAAAAATTATAAATTCAAAAACAAAGCTATTTTATTTTTAAATGAATATACAAATTAACAAATTATCATCATCACAATACTTGTCAGATATATCTGATAAAAATAAAGCATGATAATCCTAATTTAGCAACCATACCTTTAAAAAAGTGGTCGTAAGATCATCAATATCAGAAAGAGATCGCACATCCTCAGCCTGCAGAGTGAAAGTACAAGTTAGTTGATATGAAATTCTAGCATTGTAAGAGATGCTTGACTAAAAGTATAAGCTGAACATGTTTACACCCAATATTTAAAATTTTAAATTAGAAACAAAAAATAGTCACAAAAACTAAGAAGATTGAAAATTATGTAACTAACCTCTTCTCTGTTGAAAAAGAACTCCTCTTCATTAGAATCAATAGTAGGCAAATGGTCATCATCTTCTAACCCTCCCAACTGAACTTCTTTACCGAAGAATGCATATTGCGATGCATCAAAAACTGCACCTTCTGCAAGACAAATAATTCCATTCAAATATCTACCAATATCTTAGAACATATATCAGATAAGCTCACCACTGTTTATTAAATATAAAATAGATCTATTGCAATATATATTGCCAGAGGTAATGCCAAATATCATTTCAAGTACAACAAATTTGTTCAGTCAAAAAATTGAGAAGATATCAATACAAATAATATCCTAAAATTGAGAATAAGCAAACGCACTACACAACACAGGTAGAGAGATTATACAGTCATGAGACACAATGCTGAATCAACTAAACCAACCAACAGCAAAAACCTTAACATAACAAGAAAAAATCCTCCCAACAAAAAATAAAAAACTTAAAAGGCTTCATCCTTAAGCTTCTATGAGCTGAAGCTAAAAGCAAAACAAACACGTTGAAATACATCAAAAATCTCCCCATAATTCAAACTAAACCACGGGCTAAAACACCCTAGATCTATAAGACCAAGCAGAATCAAACAACACACAAACGAAGACCCATTAAAGAAAAACGTAAGAGAACACGAGATTTGAATCGAAGAAGACGAAGCAAACCTGAGGTAACATTCCCCAATTCTCTAAGATTCCCTGTATTGGGAGCGCCATCAACGCCACTCCCAGCTCTAAACCCATCCATATCCACCATAAAAACGGAGGAAGAAGAAACCCCAGAAAGAGAAACCCGCGAAAGATCGAAGATTTACCGATAAAATAAGAATTAGAGAACCCAATGCGAAAAAGGTCGTTCAAACATGAAACCCCCTCTTTTTTTTCTTATGTTTTGTGATAGTGTTTGAGAACGGTTGAACGAAGGAACAGGGGCAGGAGAAGAAGATCTGTGCTGAGAATTGAGCACATGGAAAAAGAGAAGAAAAATAGAAGAGGGTTGGGATTTGGATCAAAGAGAAGACAGAAGAAAGAGAGAGACAAAGAGAGGAGAGAGACAAAGACTGAGAGAGGAACCCTACAAACGAGATATTATTGATCCAAAATTATTACAGAAATCGTTCTTTGATTTTTTATTTTTTATTTTTTTCTATTTTTTTTAAGTTTAAATTAACTTTTGGACAATTAAAAATATTAATGGACAAGATTTCAGTAGAAGATAGCAAATTGTAAGTATTTCTTCTTCTTTTTTTAATTATAATGTAATGCTTTCTAACTTTTAGTATGTAATTTTGTTTGTTTTATGATAATAATATTTTATTATAAAAAATGTATAATTTTAATATATTTTAAATTTTATGTAAATTATTAAAAAAAATTGCTTGCAAAACAAAATTTCAAAATTAATGTCTATAAGTGTTTGTAAAAACTAAAGGGAACGAGTCATACAAATTTAATTTATCGATTTTATCTTACTTCTTAATTAATTTTTAAAGTTGCATTTATTCTTTTATTATGAACATTAATAGAATGTCATTAAGTAGATAAAACATATAGTGAAAGATAATATTAATTATATAATTAATATATATATAAAGTATTTTAGCTTACGAATACAGTAGTAAAGTTATTCCTTCTAACCAATGACTTAAAAAGAAAATAAAAAAATTAGCAAATATTATTTTACGTAAAGATTAATTGATAATTACAATACGTAATATGAAATTTAATTCACTTAATTAATTAACATCCTTAACAAGAAAACACAATTTGTTTATCACAATTAAGCTGATAAGCTAACTCGTAAAGGATTTATATAATATTTATTTTTCTTTATGTTTAAAATTCGTTTTTATCAAACATTTTTCTTAACTTTTACAAATTCTTTTTCATAAATATTGAAAAGAAACTATAAAAAAAATACTACAAACATTTTATAGTCATAAACTCACTTAACTCTACTTGTCTAATTATATACGATAATATGTGCTTTAGACAATATTTTATATTATATTTTTAAAATATTTATTTATATAATATTTTCCAAATACAAATTTTAATTAAAGAATTTATCACTTACATATTTATTTTAAATAAACCCGCTTCTCTTGCATTGTAATCTTTCTATTACTTTTAATAAGTAGCATATCAATCAAAACTTAGACAAAATAAATAAATAAATACATAATAATTAAAGTTTCATGAAATTAATTTATAACATTGTCCAATTAAAAATTGTGATATATATAATATAATTATATAATAATTATTTTAAAAATGATATAATGATTGGTAATTAGAGTTATCAAAAAAGTTGTCCAACCAGTTTAACCTAACTTCACGGGTTAAGTGAAAAAAAAAACAAATTTACTAGTTCTACCTGTTTTAAATAGGTCAAATTTTTTATCTTAATTAGACTCTTTGTTAGACCAAAATAATTAATAAATATTAAAAAAATATGGACATTAGTTTTTATTTATAATATAATAACTTGAATATATGAACTATAAAAAATATGTTTATTATATCTTAAAATAAAAAATAAAAAATTATTATTTATAGCATTATTTATTTTTAATAATTTATTATTTTAAAATAATAATTAATTTTAATTATTAAATCTTAAAATAAATTATTATTAAATATTTATTCTTATAATAATGAATATCGATCAAATTAATTTATAATATATATATATATATATATTTAATAAAATAATATTATTTTTATATTTGTATCAAAATTTATTATTATTTAATAAAACTGATTTATCCATAAACTTACAAGTTAATTTTACGTAAGATTATGACTTAAGTCATAAATTTGTGTATCTCATCTAATTTATTTTTTTTTCAATTTTTCACATCAATTCTTCAAATTAAGTTTATTTTGACATTCTATTAATAATTAACATTAAAATTTAATTAAAAAATATAAATAAATCATCAAAATTAAATTAAAGTGAAATATAATTAAATAATATAATAAATAGTATTTTGTAACATACTTTATATACTTTAGAGTATCTATTTTTTGACCATACACTTTTTTTAAGTCACGGTTAAAATTATATTATTTTATACTTCAAACTTTTGTCTTATTGTCTACAAGACAAAGGCAAGTGTTCCAGTTTTATTTTTTAATCAAAAGTAAGTTCCCTATATTTTTATTTTTATTACAGAAAGTATAATAAAAAGCACAACAATACAGATTATTTTTACGAGAACATTGTTAATGTGTAAAATATATGAATATACAATTATTATGATATATATATATGATATTTATTAGGATAGATTTATTATAATAAAAATATTAATTACAAAAAGTTATTATGAAAACTATAATTAAAATTATTAATTTAATTCGGTAATCCATTTTAACTCGTTGAATTTATAGTTTTAATTTGATAATCTATTTTAATTCATCTTATTTAATTCGTCTTATTTTTAATACAGTAAATGTGAATTGATAGTTTTAGTTTAATAATCTATTTTAATTGGTCTCGTCTCATCTAAAATGTTAATTTGATTAATTAATAATGGATTAACATATTAGTTGATTGACTCGTTTTAAAAATATTTATATATTAAAATTAAAAAAATTATAATTAAAAAAATTATAATTTTTTATGATATTAAAATATATAATAATTTAAATTATAAAAATTATTTAATTAAATTTAAATTATTAATTATAAATAATTATTTTAATATATAAATTTTATAATTTATCTAATGAAAATATTAATTAATAATTAAACTTATAAATGATTTATATAATTAAAAATATATATTTTAAAAAATATATTAACACGAAATGGATTAGAGTCTATATAATTCATCTGAGTACCTCCACCCTAATTCTTATTAAAACTGACCAAAACGAGCCCGTTTTCCATGGAAGAATTATTTAGTCGTAATTCTCTTTCGTAAGTGTTTGAGTGATGTCAGTTGTTTTATTATATTATTTTTGTGTTTTTTCTATGACTTTACGTGTTTATGCTTATCTGAAGCAGTATGCAGAATTAAAAACACCATAATGATTAAGACACTTGGCCATTTTTAATAAGAGTTTACTTTTAGAAGGCATAATAAGACAAAGGTGCAAAACAGATTCCTATATATTATTCAGCCTTTCATCATTTCTAATTCTTCTCATTTGTTTTCTCAGTTTTACGAGGACACGTGGACATAAATACACAAGTATATATGCATGTCATATTTTCTTGTCGTAAATATTTTTACTATGTTATTCTTTAAAAATGTTAATATTTTCAATAATAATGTGAAAGTTAATATTTTATGTTATGACCAATTAAGTTTTTATTCGGATAAAATGAAACATGTATTAAGAGAAAATAATTAATAAAAAATTTAAAGAATGAAAAAAATTATAACGGAAGATAATGTGATAAAATATACCTCTTAAATTAATCTAAAGATAATTTATATATGATAACACATATATTAACCTTTTTATTTATTTTTATGATTTTTTTATTTTAAACTATTTTTTAAACATAAAATCACAATAATTTCAAAACAAAAAATATATATATAAATTGACTTGCTTATTATAGTGGAAATCAAATCATAACACTCTCAGATCTATAAAGATGGCAACAATTGCGTATTCATCTGAAACCGAGAATATAATTTCACTTTATTTATATTTTTTTAGTTTTTTTACGGATGAATTATTCTTATATGCTTACGATCACACATCACTTAAAAATCGTATGATGTCAACGATAATTTATATATATTATCTTTTTTTAACCTAGACACTTCTTAAGAATAAAATCAATTAAGAGTTTTAAAACGAACAATACCTCGTACATGAAAAATAACGATGTTATCTTAGTTGAGATAAAATTGTATTTCCTACTCAAAATTATATATATATATATATATATATATATATATATATATATATATATATATATATTATAAAAAGTATTCACATGTTTTTCCTATCTCAATTTGCATAACCTTGCTTGATTATACTAATTAATTTATTATTCACTATATTAATACTAACTAAGTAATAGTTTTCACATTTCATTTATCTAGGAACAATACATTTTAATAATATTATCAAACTAAATTATTTTAAGAGTTAATTTTACAATTCGACACAACGTAAAAATAACTATTTAAAAAAGTTAAAATAAAATATTTATGGATGTCTCAACTTAAAATTTGGTTAATTATAAATGTTTGATAATTTTAAGAAAAATATTATTATTTTATCCTACTTGTTTTAATTATTTAAAAGATTATTAAATATAATTTTTAAAAATCATGATATTATTTATAATTATGTAATTTAAACATATGCATGACACGGATCTGCAGATTAGTTAAACATAATTAACATCACTAAATTTACTATGTTTGTTGTGCAAACTGAAGAATAAGACCTAACTAGTACAGAAATTTTTTTATCTCATTCGATAATAAAAGAAATAATAAAGAAAAATGTTTTTTTCATATGTTTACTTTTCCACTTACATATATGCCAGAAGAAGTAAACAAATAAAAAAAATTATTTTTAAAAATTATATTCATTAAATCAAATAATAATTATTTCTATGTTTATAGTTTCAATTTATATATAAATAATTTTAATTATTTTTTAATAAAATATCACAAATATAAAAACTTATAAAAACTAAAGAAATAATTTACTATTTTATGTGATATTATTATTAATTTAAAAAATCTTTTGAATCTCTAATCAATTATTAGAGAATTTTTGATGGTAATCAATTACAAAAGAATTATCACAGTTTTAAGAAAACAAAAATACTAAAATAGGAAGAAGATGAAAATACTAACAAATTTATACTAATTCGATTCTTTTTTAATTTACATTCAGTTTTAACCAAACAACCTTGAACTTAGAGTTTTTCACATTAAATCATATTACAATCTAATTAAATAATATTGATTTACAACAACCTCTAATCAAGATCATAATACTTGAAAATGTTATACCTCACAATTTTCAAGTTACACTGATGTAGCTAGTCTCACATTCATCAAAACTTAAAAATAAGATACAAAAGAAAGATATGAAACAAATTCACTTTGAATTTACATAATAACACACCCTATGACCAAATAATCTTTCTTTGAAATTGATCTACAAAATCTTTTACAAAATTATGCTTTTTTTTAATGCCCAAAACATTATTTTTAATTGTTTTAATTTGTTTTTGAAAGTTGATAATGATAGAAGAAATTTTGTATCCTTTTTATAGAAAGAAAACGGTTGTAATTGTCATGTATAATCGATTAACATATTTATCTAATCGATTATTTGAGTGCGATGATAGTTTGAAAATAGTCAGATAATCGATTAGGTGCTTACATAATCAATTATTAGTGCATTATGTTAAATTTTTTATTTATAAATAATCGATTAAGTAACCGCATAATTGATTATTAATACGTTTTATGAAAAACTTAATTTTAAGTCATATAATTAATTGACTCTTTATCTAATCAATTATTAGCGTTCCAGTTTTATTAACATATTTAATTATTTTTATTTTCAAAATTTAGACTATTTTAACTTTATACAAACTACCTATCTATTATATTGACATTATGAAAAAAGAGATTTTTCAAATGTCTTTCCTCTTTATCAACAATTATTTTATTAATTTAAACTCAATGTTAGAGAAAATTATTTTAAAAATAAAAATATTTTATAATATATATATAGATATATATATATTTATATATTATTAAATATAATAGGATATTAATTTAAAGGTACTAATTTACAAAACTATTTTATTAATAAATTAATAACTATAAGAATAATTTTGTAAATAAATTAACATTTAATTTAATTTTATTATATTTATAGTTTTTAAATAATTTTTTTAATCAAAAAATATTTCTATTTATTATTTTTTTCTCATAATTTATTTCTTTGTTATTGAATAAATTCTAAATATAATAATAATAAATAAAAAATTCTAACCAGGACTTCTTATTATTTATATGTAAAACTTAGAAGTTAGGGCGTTACAGTGGAGTATATAAAATAAGATTTGTTCGTATAACATAAAATATAATAATTTAATTGAAGTGACCTAAAATAAATAAATTTGTTATCTATTATTTGATAAAACATAAGTGTATTGTATCAACAAGTTTTTATACTATTTTGCTTAATACAAAAATAATTTATAATTTTTTAGGTTATTAGAAATATTACCTAATTTAAAGAAGCTGAAACAAATATATCAAACAATTCTAAGTTGCCCCACTTTTAGTCATAAGAAAAATATTTTCTTCCTAATTTTCATTAAATAAATAGTAAAAATGGTATTTATATTTTAACTTATTTTCTCAAATTATTATTTTCATTTACACGCAAAGAAACATACATGTGAGAAAAATGGAAGAAAGATAAATTTATGAAGATAAATTGTGTATCTTCAATTTATGAAGCTTTTTCACTTCTATTAAAAAATGACAAAGCCATGAATAATTGAATTTACAGTCATAAGTTTGAGTTCATTCTCTTTCAACGATGCTCCACATGTCTTGTGTCGGTAATTAACTAATTGCAAAGGACAATTTGAACTGCACTTTCTTGTTAAGTTTGTTTTAAGCAATATTTTTATATAGATTCATCCAAATTTAATAAAAATAGTATTTTTATAATATAATAAATATATAATAAATTTATTAATAGCATCATTTTTTTATAAAAAATAAAATAATAAATATTATTATTATGATCATGATAAATTATAAATATAAAATATATTTAAAAATATAAAATAAATAATTATTAAAATAAATAAAAATATGATAAATAATTATTATTTAATATGAAATAATTAATATAAGATAAAAAAATAAATTTTAAATATATTAGATTTTTATAAAATATATATTATTTTTTTATCAAAATCAGTTTAAGTTAAAAAATTTAGTTATTTTCTAAATTTTATCAAAATTTTCTGTTTAATTAAAATTTAATTATTTTAAAAAAATTGACCAATTTTTAGATTGGTTTTTAATTGGACCGCTTTAATAGACTGATCTAGTTTGATTTTGAAGATAATAATTTTAATACAATAATTTTATTTATCTTTAATTTTTCTTATACTAAACATTTGTAATTATAAATATAATATAAAAAATGATTAATTAAGTCCCTCTATTAATTATATATATTTTTCATTAACTACAAAAATAAAAGAAATCTCTAATAAGAATTCATTAATTAATAAAATATATATTAAGGGGAAATAATTCCCAATAAACATCCATCATTATTTAAAAATAAAACGGCCCAAGAAATCAGATAAAATAAAATAAAATAAAAAGAGACATGCGCGCACACACACACACCAACTATAGTATGCACACTACAAAGAGACACTGAGCTTACTTTACTTTTACCCCATTCCTATGCAGCTTCATGGGATTGAACTGCAATCACCACTTAGCACCTTTCAAAACGCCCTCACAATTCTGCAACTTTTTCTGCAGATTCTCGTTCCATCTCGCCTTTTGGGTGAACTAACCGTATCAATGAGGCTCTTCCACTTACTCCTTTGCTCCTGAAGTGGTCTCTTTGTCCCTCTCTCTTTTTTTTTTTTTTTGGTTACTGGGGTTCTGTGGAAACCTGAAAAATCTTTGCTTTATGAGGTTTGATTGTTGAACTGAGGAGTGTCCTTGTTGAGATTTTTAGAAACTGAGCTGGAGATACAACAGGGGCATGCCTTTTTGTGCTCCAAGTACCTTGATTTGTCTGTTGGAGGAGTAAAAATTCGTGCTTTTCTTTGTTATGGATGAAGTATCTTCTTGGACTTGAAACATGTTCTTTTGCACTGTTTCACTGCTTGAAACTTCAGCTTTGTATGATTGTTGTTGTTGTTGTTGTTCATCATGATGTGTTGCTGAATTTGAAAATTTTCATTTGCTCGAATCTGAGAGTTAGAAGAGATATGGGTGTCAGATTTTGTTCCCAATCCCATTTTATTGTCCATCACTTGTTTGGGTTTCAGAGCGTGAGATTAATATTATTATTTATCTATTTCTTTTATCATTCTTCTGTCAGGTTTTAAATGTTTTATTTTTGTGACTTATGGATTGGTAAAGGAGTTTGTTTTCTTACACTGAACGGGGAACAACAAGCTTTTGTTGACGTTATCCATGGATGGAAGTTTCTGTCGCTCTTGTATGTTTTCCGTGTGTGGTCCAGTTTTTTTCAAAGCAATATTAGTTTCGTATATATTGAACATAGACATTATATATAGTGTAAGTATAGTGTGGTGTCATTTTCTTACTCACCATGTGACATGATGTACTAGTTCAGAGGTGGTAGAATTTCCTTGCTACACTTGTATAATCTGGTTTCTCCTCTAATATTCCTTAGCTTTGCTAGTTGCTTCCTTTACCTTTCTATTGTTCTGAAAGTAAATTAGAGTTTGATGGTTTATTGTTTTATCATGTGCTTTCTCCTTTTCGAACAAATTCTATTTATGAATAAAAATTATAGGCTTATGTGGGTTTGACTTTTAGTTTAATCAATAGCAAGCTTTTAGTTCTTTTGACTGTCTTTTGAAGTTTTAAATAAGCTAGAGTCCTATCGCTATCTCCTACACTGTCAGTTTTTTGCGTTCTAATCACACCCTTTTGTTTAATTGAAACATCACTTCAGGTTAATCAAAAGATGGAGCGCACCAGGCTAAACATGAGAGGTCGTTGCTCTGGTTCAACTCCCTCAGAAGAGTCTGCTTTGGATCTTGAAAGAAACTGTTGCAGTCATTCTAATCTGCCTTCCCTTAGTCCACCAACGCTTCAACCCTTTGCTTCAGCTGGACAGCATTGTGAGAGCAGTGCTGCTGCTTATTTCTCATGGCCAAGCCGCGTGTATGATGATGCTGAAGAACGAGCAAACTACTTTTTAAATCTACAAAAGGGGGTGCTGCCTGAAACCCTTGGTCAGCTGCCCAAGGGGCATCAGGCAACCACATTACTTGAACTTATGACAATCAGGGCATTTCACAGCAAGATACTGCGTTGTTACAGCCTTGGAACAGCAATTGGTTTTCGCATACGGCGAGGTGTATTAACAGATATTCCTGCCATTCTAGTGTTTGTCTCCAGGAAAGTTCACAAGCAATGGCTAAGTCCAATCCAGTGCCTACCTACTGCACTTGAGGTCCTCAAAGATTTCAAATTGAACCTCCCTGATTCAAATTTGGAATTTGAAATTTTTATATATCATGAATAGTTATTAAGTTTTTCTCTAGTGCCTATTGATGCTGTTAAAATCTATGCTTAATTTCTGAATCAGGGTCCTGGTGGAGTATGGTGTGATGTGGATGTGGTGGAGTTTTCTTATTTTGGTGCACCTGAGCCAGTTCCGAAAGAACAGCTGTACACAGAGATTGTAGATGACTTGCGTGGGGGTGATCCATGCATCGGGTCGGGATCTCAGGTGTTTCTGGACTTTCTTAGTTAATGTTTCCTATGGAAGGACCAATCCAGTTTACAAAAGATTAGCTTTGAGTCAATTACTATTGCATATATGTAATGATTAAAGGAGCACTTTTTGGCCTTTCCACTTAGAAACCAGTGTAACTACTGTCCTTTAATTTGATCAAAGAGCTTATTTTACTTTGTGGAGGCTTGTTGTAGTAAGAGTCTTGTTTGCATGAGTCCAACTTTGCATTTTATCTTCATAATTCAACAAAGCATCTTAAGTTTTCTGACAACTAACTTCAATCATATTTTAATGGGAACTTAACCATAAATTTGGTTCCAATGTCGTTGATCTCATTTTTGCACTTTCTCTGGCCAGACCTATGGCCTGAACTAGCAATAAATTTTGGAAAACCAGAACTACAGATCTTGTGATTTTGTTGGTCTGTGAAAGCAGTCATTTGTCATATATGAAGAGTGAAAATAGTAGTATCCTCAATCCTGTGATTCTTAGTTGGTGGTAGTAACCTACAAATAAGTGATACTTGGATTTAATTTGCTTGACATATCCATATCCAATACTAGTGTATTGGTGAAGTATCCCAACCTATGAAACACCAATATTTCAGTGATACGAGTATGTGAAGTCCAAGGCTTTAAAGCATTTTATAAAAGTCCAATACATCTATGTGAAACATGTATGTATAATGTAGAAACAAAGAAACACCACCACTTGATGAACCGAAATTGGAAAATGTCCTGTTTATGAACGGCTTCAAGGAAGCAATGAGATTAAGAGTACCATTCTTATATAATTTATGATGATAATGACATTGGTAGTGAATCATAGGAAGTAATTTATGATGACAATGATTTATAATTTTGTTAGCAATGTCTAAGAAGTATGTTTAATTTAATTGCAGTAATATATTTGTTATGTCTTAATGAGATTTTATACATTTTTTTAATAAGTATATTACATGTATCTTATTCTATATATTTTTAGAAAATTGAATTGCCAGATTGGATACACGTCATATCCGATACAAGTATGATTTTTGTGTCATAGGTAGTTACAATATCTCATTCTTGCTGAGATCTATATTATGGTTCAGAAATTCAATGCGTATGATAAATTGAACTATTGAACTCTACCGATACACCTTATAAATATTAGGCCATCATCCACCTGATAAGTCAAATTTGTGAAGAAATTCTCAAATATTAGCCATTTCCGGGCCTCCACAAAATTGAATTGTTCAAGATTGTTCCAAGACTTTCCTTCACATATTCATCTACCTTTAGTGTTCTTAAGGGAGCTGAATGTCAACGTTCTATGTCATCCATCATTATCATAAAATAGCTGTCTTGTTTTGAGAGAACAGTTCACTTGATGTTTTCAGAAATTAATGCAGTTCATAGAAGCATCTCTAGTAGCAAATTTCCGTAGTGCTTCTTTTGATCAATATATTGGACTTCTAACCACTTACTTTCTTAGTTCAGGTGGCAAGCCAAGAGACTTATGGAACTTTGGGTGCCATCGTTAAGAGCCAAACAGGCAGTCGACAAGTTGGTTTTCTCACAAACCGTCATGTAGCAGTTGATCTAGACTATCCAAATCAAAAGATGTTTCATCCTCTTCCACCCACTTTGGGGCCTGGGGTTTATCTGGGTGCAGTAGAGAGAGCAACCTCGTTTATAACGGATGAGCTTTGGTATGGCATATTTGCTGGAATAAACCCAGGTAACATAATTTTGGAATTCTGATTGATTTAATTGGGCTATATACATTTTGTTCCCTATGCATACTCCATAGTCCTCACTCATCCTCATGATGTGTTTTCGTGCAGAGACTTTTGTGAGAGCTGATGGTGCATTCATTCCTTTTGCTGATGACTTTGACATGTCCACTGTTACTACTTCAGTGAGGGGTGTTGGAGATATAGGCGATGTGAAGATAATTGACCTACAGGCTCCAATTAGTAGCCTTATTGGAAAACAAGTGGTGAAGGTTGGAAGAAGCTCCGGCTTGACTACAGGGGTTGTTTTGGCTTATGCCCTAGAGTACAATGATGAGAAAGGCATATGCTTTCTTACGGATCTTCTTGTTGTTGGTGAGAACCAACAAACTTTTGACCTTGAAGGAGACAGTGGAAGTCTCATCATGTTAAAAGGTGACAATGGCGAGAAACCACGGCCTATTGGGATAATATGGGGAGGAACTGCTAACAGGGGCCGCCTTAAGTTAAAAGTCGGGCAACCCCCTGAGAATTGGACTAGTGGGGTGGATCTAGGGAGACTTCTCAATCTACTTGAACTTGATTTGATAACAACTGATGAAGGACTTCAAGGTTTATCACTCCTTTCCTAATAGTCTTGTGTTCCTCTATTTTTTCTTTCTCTTTTAAATTTAGCATTCTCAAATGTGAGATTAGAATTTACCTTATGGTGGTTTATACCCACTTATGGTATACCAAAGGGTACTTCTATATAAATTGAGCTTAAAAGCAGTCCACAAAAACATCAGGTGCTATTGATGGTATGAAATTGTGGGGTGGTACTTGAAGGGATACTTAGATCTTAGTAGGGTTAATTTCTTAATTTGCATGTCTAAACCGTTTACTTAATACCGCTTACTATATTATTATGGCGCTGCTAGATAGTGTTAAAATATGGACACAACTCATGCAGGAATAATGTGCAGACAGATCTGAAAAGATTGTCCTTTATATTGATTAGGATTATTTTCTGTTGTTGTTTCTTGTAGTGGCAGTGCAAGAACAAAGAGCTGTGTCAGCCACAGTAATCGGTTCTACAGTTGGGGATTCTTCTCCCCCAGATGGTGTACTTCCAAAGGATAAAGCTGAAGACAAATATGAGCCACTTGGTCTTCAAATTCAGTCCATTCCTTTAGGAGTTGCACCTAGCAGCCAAGACATGAAACCATCAATCATGGAAACTGAATTTAAGTTAGAAGATGGAATCAAGGTTGGGCCCAGTATCGAACACCAGTTCATCCCGAGCTTCATCGGTCGGTCTCCCATGCACAAGAACAGCATACATGACAGAACTGCTACAGAAAACTTGTCTTCATTGAGGAACAACTGTGATGAAGATTTGTGTGTTTCACTGCAGCTTGGTGACAATGAGGCAAAGAGAAGGCGTTCTGAAGCCTCAACTAGTACTGAGGAGCCTCAGTGAAACAAACACACTATTTGCTTAAGCTGGAAAAAAAAACTTGCTTATAAGTTCAATCACCCCAGAATGTGTTGTTTATGACCCACCTTGGTACTGTGTTTATGCTTAGCAGCCCTTACAGTTAGTTGTCAATGATGTGACAATGGGCAATGATTTATGGTCTTGAAGGGCCAATCAGGTCCTGAAAAATCCTGAATTTCTGAACTAAAGTATGTCACTTTTCAATTAACATGTGCATACTTTGTCAATTAACTGCTAGCTCACATCACATGGCACTGACAATTATTTATGTACTGTGATGAACTGATGCTTTGAGTTTGATTTTTTACCATGTGTCTTTCTTTCCCTTTTGTCTGCAAAATATAAAATTAGGATAATTTCAAAAGATTTTTTTTTATTATTGGTTATCAAAGTATTCTGAGTAATTACCTGTATGAAACCCAAGTTGCAACCTAGCTGAAGAAGTCCCTCAAGAGCATCCATGGTTGTAAAAAGCTCAATCTCATCTGAATAACTCCTTTAACTTATTTTATGCCTCTTAATATCTATATAGTAAGGGTTTATTTGAATAATTATTTTATACGGACTTATAAGAGAATAAAATAAGAAAACTAAATTATTTTTATAAAAAATTAAAATTAGTTTATTCATTATTAATTTGTATAAATATTTTTGTTAGTTTTTTTAGAAAAAAAAACTTATGTTTGATTTATGAATTAATTAATTTTTAATTTGAAAGAAATTTAATATATATTTTTTTATTTTAATTTTGTTATAAGATTTAGGGAGAAATATATCCTATTGGTACTGTGTAAATGATTGGTCGTTATATTTATGCTATGTGTCTGGTTTGCGTAGAAAATACAACGAAATAGATTAGAATGTAATAACGCGGGTATAAGTGTAATGATTTAGATATCTATAAGAAGATGGAATAAAAATTTATTTTTATAAAAAATATAATAAAAATAAAAATATATTTTACCTAGATTAAATACTATTTTTTGTCACAAAGATATTTTTATTAAAAATGAAACCCGATTGTAATAAGACCTGAGTCCGACCCATTCCAGAAGAATCCATGAACCGAGGGATTCACGCGTATCTTTGTCAAAGACTCACTGTTCACTATCTCAACCGTTCTATTTTATCTTTCATTTCCCACACGTTCTCCTTCACTCCTTAGCTTGGTTTGGAGGAGCTAGGGTTTATCGAGGGTTTCGTTCCTCCTCTCTGCAACAATGGCGAAACCTGGGCGAGGTCGTCGCTCTCCCTCCGGTTCCGTTTCCGCCGCCTCCTCTTCTCGCTCCTCTTCCCCCTCCGATTCTCGCTCCTCTCGTTCTCGCTCCCGCTCTCCCTCGCGCTCCAGATCTTTCTCGTCGTCCTCCTCCTCTCCCTCCCGAAGCTCCCGCAGCCGCAGCCCTCCGCCGCAGAGGCGCAGAAGGTGCCGTTGATTTCTTCGATCCGAGGGTCGAACGAACTCGACATTTTACAATTCGTGTCTTTTTTTTAATTTGAATGAGTGCGCTGTTCTCTTTTAATTGCTTATTTATGTTGAAGTTGAAAACTCTATTATTATCTCTTTAATCCCCTGCGGTGTTGACTTTTGAATGTGGAAATGTTTGGTGCACGAGATCGATTGTCTCTTTTGTGTTGTTTTTTAATAGAATTTGTGGTCAGTGTTTTAAATTGTGGCCGATGTAGCCGTTTGGATAAATTGCTGACATATATATGCTGCAGCAATTGTGCTTGCAATGTGGTTGTGGTGATTCTATAAATCTTGTGGACCTTTTGTTATTGGTCTCTTTGATTTTCTTTCTTCTGTTTGTGCTTTTTAAGTTGTGCGCTGTGAGACAATTATGCTAGTAAACGGAGTTGGAAATATGACCATGTTGAATGTGGAATTTTTATTTTTAAATCTTGTGTATTTTGCTTCATTTTTTGGTTAATTTGGTTTTTGAATATAATTTTTTTTGTCCTACAGTCCCGCTGAAGCAGCTAGGCGTGGTCGGTCTCCTCCACCTCAGTCAAAGAGAGCTTCACCTCCTCCAAGGTATTTCGAGTTTACTTGTGATATATTGTCTTGGTGATTTGAAGTTGTTATTTTAATGTATGTTATTTGAATGGCATTGTGATTGGCATTGTTAAGGTTAGAATGTGTTATTTGTTAAAGTTTAACATGGTATATTAGCAAGTTGATAGGTGCAAATTAGTAGTGGGAAAACAAAGTCTGTTGTCTCTGGTATTTACAGTCTAATGTTCTTTTGTCCATATCATATCCTTCAAATACTCAAAATAATGATTATTTATTTAAACTTTGATGTTTCATTTTATGATTCTAAATTCTATTAAGAATTCTCTGGGGGTGATCCTTCTAAAGCTAATATATTCACAGCTTTCTTCACTTTTGTTACTTGTACTTTTTCCTAATGTATTTATCTCCTGTGTTTGAACTCAGGAAACCGTCTCCTGTAAGAGAATCACTTGTCCTTCATGTAGAAAAGCTCAGCAGAAATGTCAATGAGGGTCATTTGAAGGAAATTTTCAGTATGTTTAATTATTTTTACCTTCTAGTTTTATCCTACATTTACATTTTGAATGCAATAATATGTTATAGTCTACTTGTGGTTGTCAAATACTTAGGAAAAAAATCATATTAACTTATTTCTACCTTATAGTTTTATCCTACATTTCCACCATGAATGCAATAACGTGTTGTAGGCTACTTGTGGTTTTCAAATACTTGGGAAAAGAGTTATTAATTGGCAATGCTTATTTACTTATTTCTTCTACCTTCTAGTTTTATTCTGCATTTACATTGTGAATACAATAATATGTTATACGGTACTTATGGTTGCCAAATACTTGGGAATAGTTATTATTTGGCAATACACATTTAGTTAATTGGTTTGGTCCAATGACTGTAAGCAATGTCTCATGGGGGGAGGGTAGCATCCATGAATTAGCTCAGTGCAACTTCTCTTTTTGTTTCATTTTTATTTATGAATCTTCATTAAACCTTACTTTCAATCATCGAGTAATATTGATGTTATCAACTGTTAAGAAATATTGGCTGATGTCTTATTGCGTGAGAGACATTTTAGTGACCTTAACGTACTAATATCAGTGATTGAAAGAAAACATTTAGTAATTTTATAATTTCAAGGGCTCATATGAACTTCTGTTGACCTTTTGGTAATCCAGCCATGTGCATGAACTTTTCAGGTAACTTTGGTGAGGTTGTAAGTGTGGAGTTGGCAATGGATCGAACTGTAAGTTTATATTTACTTTGGCAGCATAGTTTGAGACGAATTTAATGTGATATGGAATTTTATCCCTTTCATTGCATTTCTAGGTCAATCTTCCAAAGGGATATGGATATGTGCAGTTCAAGACAAGAGAGAATGCTGAAAAAGCCTTACTGTACATGGATGGTGTAGGTTTCTGTGACTGATGTGAACCGATTTCCATAATCAAGCTTGCTGGCTGCTACATTAGTAAATTGATGCCTTTGTTTTTGTAATGTAGGCCCAAATAGATGGCAATGTTATCAAGGCAAGATTTACACTACCTCCAAGGCAGAAAGTTTCACCACCCCCAAAGGCTTCCGCTGTTGCTCCAAAGAGAGACACCCCCAGGATTGATAATGCTAGTGCAGATGTTGACAAGGATGGGCTAAAGCGTCAAAGAGAATGTATATGTGATATGTTGGACATTTTTTTTTGTTTCATATTGGTCATGTTATATGTTTATTGAACTTTAATTTGTCCATACCAGCTCCTCGAAGAAAGCCTCCCTCACCACGGAGGAGATCTCCTATACCTAGAAGAGCTGGATCTCCTAGACGACCAGATTCTCCTCGCCGCCGTGCAGATTCTCCTGTTCGTCGCCGATTAGACTCTCCTTATCGTCGTGGAGGAGACACTCCTCCTAGGAGGCGACCTGTGTCTCCTGGAAGAGGTCGATCTCCATCTCCGCCAAGGCGTCTTAGATCCCCTGCTAGGTTAGCTTTCAAAGTTGCATACATATTTTGCCGAACTGATTCTATAGTCAGGTCTACTCATTTATATATAACCTCTGTAGGATCTCACCTAGAAGAATGCGTGGAAGCCCAGGGCGGAGACGTTCACCTCCTCCTCCTCCTCCTCCTCGGCGCCGGTAGCTTTATTTAATAATTATTTACCTCTTTATCAGTTTGCATTTTTTGATACACTGTATATATTGCCATTTTAAAAATATTTTTCCAGATCACCACCTAGACGAGCCCGCAGTCCGCCTAGAAGGTCTCCACTTGGTCGTAGACGTACTCGCTCTCCAATGCGTAGGTCTGCACGTTCACGCTCAAGGTCTTTCTCACCTCGCAGGTATTTTTCTTGCATGCTTAAGTTTTAGCAGTCTGTTAAAATGAGCTACTGCATACTTTTTTATTGCTTATATTATGTCTTAAATTTTGCAATTTGTTTTCCTTTTGTGTAATAGAATATTTAGATTGAAGGATAAAATTGTGGGATTGTTAGATGAGAATGTGAAAATGTACTGGTTGGACTTGGTGGATTTTTAGTTATCCAGATCCTTTTTAATGATCATATATGCTCTAGATGAAATTTAACTTGGACCTTACGCTTACATTCTTTAAAAAATGACTATATTATCTTGTAAATAAAGCAGTAGAGATTTCAGAATAACTATCCTGTTGATGAGGGAAAACCCAAGAAATGTTATTTTACAGAATATAACATCTGTGTGTATACAAGAAAATACATGAGAAGTTTCCTGAGTTTCTTGTTATATTTTATTGCATGTTTGAATGCAATTTGAAAATATTTGAGCATTTCATAAAATTTATTCCCTTGACAGAGGTAGGCCACCTGTTAGACGTGGGAGGTCATCATCCTTCTCCGATTCACCAAGTCCACGCAAGGTATTTATGTGTCCTTTTCTCATTTATATGGATTGTGTTATTTTTACTTGGGATAGTCTATGACATAGTCCTCTTAACTTTGGCAGGTTTCCCGGAGATCAAAGAGTCGTAGCCCAAGAAGGTAGTTTTGTCATTTGATATAATGTTTTCTTGTTATATATTTTGATTCCTTGTCTCTTTTGGTAGCATTCACTGTTTGATTTTCCTTGGAAGTTCATGTGATTTGTTTCAAAGCACCGTTCATTGCTTGATTATTATTTTTTTTCTTTACCAATCTCCAAATTAATCAATCAATTTAATGGTCTAAAGCAAGATTTTAATAATTTTATTAACGATTTCCATTGTTGACTATCTTGTTACAAATTTTGCAGGGTAAGATTTGTTTTTCAAAAAAGACACCTGGAAATATAATATAAATGAAACATCACCTACTACATTGAAAGGTCAATGTTATTATGTAAGACAATATGGAAGCAAATTAACTGATATGGGCTGGATTCCTGTCAGACACAATTGATTCTCAGTATCTGGGCCTTAAAATTTGCCATCTAGCATGTCATTTATGCTTCACTAATGTCACATGCTATCTCAAGCAGACACGGATACATGCTTCATGTAACTAGGATTTACTAATCTTTTCCGTAAATCTTATCAATTTATCTTCCTCGGTCTGATATTTTGGCAATAAGATGTTAGATGTTATATAATTATTTCAAGTGCACATATGTCAAGGGAAAACTGTTTGGTCTAAGAGTTTGGTATTTATAGATTTTTTCATATAAGGATATTGATAAGAAATATCGACTTTAAAGTTTAACAGGAAACTGCTTAGGTGTTTCCTATGATGTTTCTATAAGTTTGGGTTGTTATGTTGAATTGTATCTTAAGAAGTTCATTTCAGTTCTTTGCTAATGTAAATTTATATCTATGGTAGGCCTTTGAGAGGAAGAGGCAGTAGCAATAGCAGCAGCAGCAGTTCACCACCACCAGCTCGCAAACCATAGATATTTCTTGTACATCTATTGTCTCTTCCTGTTGATGTGTATTTATCGAGATTCTGTACCAGCTGAGTTCTAGCTTGATGTGCTTGGGGATATATGTTACTTTTTATTGTTGTCTATTAACACATTTTTCTTATTAGCACTTAAAATTGTTTTGGAAACTAATTGTTCTGTTCATTTTCGTTTCGTTGCCAAAAAAATGCTTAACTCAGGAGATAATAGTGGTCTGCTTTATTGTATTCGGAACAGTTAGAATCTCTAGAAATTCAGTGGAATTCTGTGTAACTCATGGTTTCTTTAGAAATTTGATTATGCGAATAAAGTAGTCTGTTTTCTTAGCATTAGCACGAAAAGCAAGCGATACATTCTACCAGATGTCTAGTGCAATTTCAAGCTCGGAAAATGCCTAACAATATGAAAATTCGGAAAATGCCAATATATTGTGTGATGACAGTATAACTATGCTCATTTATCGATTCGAATTCTTGCATTACACTTTTGAACTGTTATAGGTCCAAGTTAGTTACACTAAAACAAAAGGGAAATATTAAACAAGTGACTAAAAGAATATCCGATGATTAAGTTTGCAAATAAGCCTAAATTTTGTATACCAACATCTATGTTATATTGTGAGTTTCACTAGTTATTCTTACCGAAAGATAGAATACACAGAAATTTATTTGAATTATTGTTTTTAGTACTCTTAGTTGGTACCTTTTAGGCTTAATGGCACATTACCAACTAAATTTTGTACTTTTGCGAATTTAATCACTCAATGCTCGATTTAATCAATTTTATTATTTAAATTTTAAAACTATATATATATATATATATATATATATATATATATATATATATATATATATATATATTACATTAGATGAATAGGGTCTTAATTTTCTGATAACATAGCCAATAAATAAGTAAGAAAAGTAAAATATGACTAATAAATTAAGTGAAAACATTTTTTACTTGATTGATTAGAGATGATGACGTGACCATTATTTAATATATTTTTTAAATAAAATATAACGATTTGTTCGTTGTGAAGGAGTACAAAATAGTCTTAATTTGTATTACACGTCGGGTGTAATATAAGGAAACAACGTCGTCATCTTGTACTCAAATGTGAATTTGAAGTAAAATAAGAATTTTGTTTTCTGGGACAAAATTAAAAAACGGAAGAATGGTTAAGATGATTTTTAATGTGAACCTTGACAAAATGCTCACTTCAGTATACATTTATCGTTTTTTTAAGGATAATAAAATAGATTTTAACGTAGGAAACTTAGGAAGCATATCCAAACTTTTTTTTTTCTTCTAAATTTGGCCTTGGTTTATTAAATTCAGATTTATAAGATAAAAATATATCCAATACTAAAAATAGAGGTGTACTCAATTCGATCTTTGATGATTGATATCTGTGTACTATAATAATATATAATATTATTATAGGGGATTTTTATTGCAATAAAATTCTTATATTTCTAATTAATATTAAATTTTATTATACTCATCATCATCATCATCCTTATCTCAATATATATATATATATATATATATATATATATATATATATATTAAATTATTATCATTTTACCATTTTAATAATCAACATACTCTTACAAAAATTTTAAATTTCAGTTTTTCTTAAATTTCTAAATCCCTCACCACAGAACATATTTCATAATAATATGTGTTGATTGATTTTTTTTAATTCTTCATCTAAATATAAACATTAAAATTATTATATTAAAACAACAATTTTTTTTCATAAATAAATAACAAGAAGGAAATTAAAAAAATTGGTGTGTTTAAATCCAAATAGAAATAGCCCAGTACAAGAATCTAAAACATTGCAATTCCATAGTTTCTTCCTACCCTACCTAATTAAATTAAATTCTATTTTACTGTTAGACCTATCTTTTTCGTAGTTATTTATTATTTGTATTTTAAACCTTTAAACATTTGATTTTTAAACTTGACTAAAATATTTTCATTCTTCCTTCTTCTATTATTAAGAATTGAAAAAAAAAAGTAAGAATCTTGTTTTTAATTTGTATCAAGATTTTTGGTTGAAAACATATTTCTGGATTGGAAATACAATTTTAATTTTTTTTCTAAAAATATGTTCTAAAAAGTGGATTTTGGAATAGATTTTGAAAATTAATTTTCTGAAAATATATTATAGATTGAGTCTGGTATACACTTTCGGATTGTACATTCTATAAATTTATTCCGTACCTACCAATATGGAATGAATTTTCAAAAATTAATTCAAAAATATATTTATAAATTTATTCCGTACCTACCAATATGGAATGAATTTTCAAAAAATTAATTCCAAAAATATATTTTGAAACTCACTTTTCTTTCAAATTAGCTTTTTGAGAAACACATTTTAGAACATTTATTCTAGAGTGTATTACTGGATTGATTTTTTAGGAAATACATTCCAGAATAAGTGTTTGAAAAAATTAATATGAAAATGCATTCTAGATTGAATGTTCTGTAACTTAATATGAATTTTGTAAAACTATTTTAGATGGAGCAATCTATGTTACGTATAATTTTAGTATAGGAATAAGTAATAAATACATAATATTAACAATTACTCACCTCACGATTTTGAATGGAAGTAATAACATAATGAATGGAAGTAATAAGATAAGAATCTAAATATGAATATTTATGGAAGTGTAGAACTTTAGGAAAATAGAAAAAAAGGATGAAGATTTGATATTTTAATTATTTTACTTGATATATGAAGGTCCAAGGAGAAAGTATGAAAGTGCAAAGAAAGTGACTTAAGAAAATTGATGTGTTTAGATCCAAATAGGAATAGCCCAATATAAGAATCTAAACTTGGAAGTATATTTTGGCCCAATCCATTTCCTCATCTGCCACTGCCACCGTGTCTCTTTCTCAATCTAGGTTTCAGTTTTCCCAATTTCAGTTTAGGTTTTCCATTTTGAAGCTTCGTTCCAAGAATATTCATTCCCAAACTGGTATCTCTTTTCGCGATCACTGCTTCTGAAATTGACTAACTTGAATAGTTGCAGAATGTTAAAGAAGGCACACACAACGAGGTAAATTGGGTTATCACAAAATTATACAATAAAAAACTTTTTTTTTCTAACATAATTATCTTTAATATCGTGATGCTTTATTTTAGTTGCTTGTCAATATCTGAGAGCATTATTAATCTCCAATTTTACTGAAATTGATTCAATTCCAAATATTCATTGGGGCTATTATTGATACATTTAAGTTCCTAAGCTTATGCAGTGTGATTATGATGTAGTGTCTCCAGTTTTAGTAGTTAAGTGGAAGAAGTGATAATTCTGGTTCCAGCCTGATCTTTGAACCTGCTATCTTTATTTGCCTTTACTTGAACTCAATTAATGTTCTCTGTTTGCTCTGTCGTGTCAGAATTTGAGGACTCATGATGTTTTCATTGGTTTGGCTCCCAGTTTATTCTGATTTTCCCTTGATTATAATGTTTTTAGTTCTGTTGCTTTACTCACAAGTCTAAATTTCCAGATGAAGCATTGCACATGAATTTGTGTCAAATTTGCTGTTTTTTTTCTTCTGCTGACGGTTTGGTTGGTTCTTCCTGTCTAGACTAAGGTAGCAGGTAGAGTAAGAGATTTCATGGCAGGCAGTGGCCTGCAATCTTTGGGTCGCGTGAAGCTTACTGATTTAGTCCCTTCGGATGGGTTACCATCTGATTCTTATAAAATATCAGTTTCAATTTTGTCACAATCTCTGGCTCAGTTTTCGGCTGTAATCATCCAGTTTCCAGCTAGTGATGGCTCTCTTCTGAGATCTGGTTTAGAATCTGCTCGCCTTTATTTTCACCAAAGGGAAACATACCCACCTGCGGATATCATCCATACTAGCGAGTCTCGTGAATGGTGCAAAACATCTGGTTATTACGCAGATCCTCATTTGTGGCAAGAAACATTTGACTATAGACCAGGATTGACCCCTTCAGAACCTAATAATTCCATAGAGTTACCCCCGGCAGGTTTGTCAGACATATTTGCCTTATTTGGAAAAGCAGCAAGGGATATTCTGGATGCAATTAGCTACCATTTGAATTTGCGCAGTTCTCCATTTGTAGAGATACTGGATAATGTTCCCCTGAGAAATAGGGAAATTTCATCTTCAGTCTTGTCTGTTTGCTGTCACGGAAGGCCATCATTTCAGGGTCCACAGCATCATAGTATAACTTCTCAAGAGGATGGCCAATTGATTATGTATCCTGACCATGATCACCAGGTTGATAAAAGCTTGCTATCGCTTGTTAAGTCTGACAGGGCAGGTCTACATGTAAGAGACTTTCAAGGCCGGTGGATTCTTGTGGATGGAGATCTGGGACCTCAAGAAGCTATTGTTTATCCTGGGCTTGCTCTTTATCAAGCAACTGCAGGATATGTAAACCCTGCATTGCACAAAACTGAGCTTAATATGGAGGCTAATATGTATGGACGATGTTCTTTAGCCTTCAAACTTTTGCCTAAATCAATGACCAGCTTGGATTGTTCTGAAATGCGAGCAGCAGGTTATGGAATTGAAGCACAGTTCCAGCTTCCCGTCCCAGTGGATGATTTTATGCAAAGACCTCATCCAACAGATCATCTCTTTAATCGACCTAGTTTCCAGTGCTTCAATTTCCAACCAACACATGATGGTATGTAACATTTTAATTATATTTTGGTATTAATATAAGATTTGTTGTATACTAGCATAGAACGATAGGTCACTTGTTTATATTCTTCAAAACTTAGTTTAGGAACATGCTTAATTTTGGATGATGCCTGTCTTAATCACTGATATCTGTAAGCTTTCAAGAGTTCTGATAAAAAAATTGGAGAAATGTTACCATTCCTTTTTCTATTTTCAACTGAGATTGTGATGAAACACATTGAATTTCATTCTCCCCATTATCACGCAAGGAACTATAATGAATGTTAAACCTTCCTTTCTCCCTGGGGGATTGGGGAATGAGTGTCACAGGAAATTCTTTGGCTGCTAGAAGAATGTGCAGGAGATTTATCCCTTTTTTTTTGTATGAAGGATGTATGTATCTCACACACTACACGAGTGCATGATCGTTTTGAAAATCCCAATATTGACTGATTCTTATGAATATTACTATATCAGAGAAATTAGGAAAATAAAAATAAAATGGTGCAATCATTTTCTTTAAATCGAATGGTATAACCAAGACTCTCAAATACTATGTTTCTTTATCTTTTTTTAGTGTATCAGCTCCCAACACAAGTTAGGTGATGAGATGGTAACATGTTCATTTGCTTTTGGTAAAATGCTTATTTTCCTAAATAAAAATAAGGAAAAAGGTCTAGAATTCATATATTTTGCACTTAGATTATTTTTTTTATGGCAGAACTGCACCTTTTCTCATCTTGGTTGTCTGAAGTTGAAACATAAATTTCCATATTTGGTGTTTCATGAAATTTTTTGTTTGATGAGTATGACTGTATTGCGATTGAATAAGTAGCGTCAGTTCTGCTTTGAGAGTAGTCCTTAGTGGAAAGTTTTTAACAGCAGGTCCTTGGATCGATGAAATGCTGGTACAGGATCTATGAAGACTCTGATGCGGAGAAGGAAGCAATATCCCAAGAGCAAACCTTTGCCACCTTCCAAGAGGTTAAGGCTTGAGGCGCAGAAAGTTTTGAAAGAAAAGGTCCAGGATATTGCAGATAAGAAAGGCATCAAGCTGCGGTTCTGTAATCTCAAGGAATGCGAAAGTCACATTCACAGTGTAGATAGCCCATGTGCAAATATACGAATGGAGATAGGGTGGCCTCTTGGTGTTCCATTTGTCCATCCCCATGATTTACCTAACAAGGCAAAGCTGGGTTTCCTTGAAGCATATGAACCTGGTTGGACAGAAGCCCATCAGAACTCAGGCAGGCTAGTCAACACTCGGCTAATTTTAACTGTAACTCTCCTTTTGCAAGTTTCATGTGCATATGATCATACATATTCTGCATTTTATCTAAAACTGTCAAGTAAAATAGTTGTAGTGTATCTGAAACCAAAGTAGGGTGATGAAAAGGTTGAGGGAAGCTGAAGTTTAACATAAATTATTAATTTACATAATTGTAGTTTAGCCAAATTATCTTCATTACCCAATCAATGTGTTCCATACTTTGATTAGCAACATGAAGAATGTTAAACACTTTTAATTATATATCGAAAGAACCATGGATATCGCTGATCCTTAGAAATGTCCTTTTTTCAAAAGACTGCAAGCCTTCCGTCCTTTTATTTCACTTCCTTTGGTGTTTACTTAGTTAACTTAAAACGTATAACAATGCCAATTTTCCTAGATATTGTATCCTTTCTTAACTTGGAGTGAACCAAACTGTCATACGTTACATAATAGTATGGAACATCAAATACCAGTAGGGTAGGCTATGTAATGTCAAAAATCAAAAAGAGGAAGCGCAAGCTTGTTGACGGGCACTTGAACTCCAGTTATTTAATGATCAGTGGTTGAACAAAGAGCCAGAAATAATGTTGTGGTAGTGTAACTTAGATATAATGATATGCATTGCCTTGGTTCTTCGATTTTGTAGAATATTGCTATTGTGATGCATTTGTTTTAGGTAATGGGTCACTAGCATCTACGTAGTTCACTGTCTATGTTAACTTATGGTTAATTTAACAATTTAAGTTTAACAGAATATGTTCATAATTTGGTATCTGCAGGAATCAGTCCCCCTGATATCCAACACATGGGCGACATATGATCAGGTTGTGAAGATAGGCCTATATAGTCCTCAAGAGGGCTCTGAACCTATTTGTAGCTAGGTTTTAGAGTTTTATGCCTGCGGTCTATAAATGCAACTTTTAAAACAGATCATGAAAGAAATGTGTTGCATTGAATTCCATTGATGTTTGTTGTACATTTCTTAGAAACTCTGGATTATGAGACGCCAATCCAATAAGAATGAAGGGTAGATTCAGCTCTAAAGCTGATGGAGGTGTTGCTAAAATGAAGAATACAGTTGACAAATCAATAGAACAATTATTTTAACCTGGAGGAATGCAATGACTGTCAAATTGTCTGCAACAAGTTTACTTGTAACTTTTTGTCCTTGAGTTATGTCAAGCTGCTAGGAAGCTAAACATGAGATAGCTTTATGTAGTGAGATAGCATTTAGCCTTTTTCTTTTCACTGTAGAGCTGTATTTCATTGTTTACTTACGCTGCCTAATTATAATTGTGAAATCAGAGGCTGTGCATATCGAGAGGCAATATCTATCATTTAGCTCGAATATATTATATCACATGTGTTCTTCATCCGTCTCCATATTAATTCTTTCATTGAAAGAAATCTTAAATCTTTTTTTCAAAGTATACATCAGTAATCGAATTACTCTAAAATTAAGAAAACCTTTAACTAAAACAAGTACTGACTTCCTTAATTTTAGAATTAATATGACAATATTTATCACTTTAATTTAAGAACTGGTTAGTTCTCAGTCGCTGAATAAAGTGTCAACAAGTAATGTCATATCACTTCAATCACATGCAACACTAACTTTCACTTCATTCAACCCAATTAATAAAGTGCTTACGTCAAAGCTTGGATGTAATGTCTTCAAAGCTTTTTCTTAGGGTACATAATATATAATAAGAGAGAATAATTATCCTCTAATTAATTGTTTGACGTACCCAGATATCTTATTATATTATAGTTATGTATTTCTTATGACCTTGTTATCCCCAGCACCTCTCATAATTGTTCCCTTTCCATGATTGGTAAAAATTTTGCTGTTACCACCATTATTACCATTTTATTTTCATTGTTAATATTATTATTGTTGTTATAACAGTCACCACTATTTTTATTATCGTTATAATCACTACTACAATATATTATTACATTTATTATCATCATTACTATTGTCACATTAAATTCACTTTTCTTATGATTTCATTATTAAAGTGATAAAATGGGTTGACCCATTCCATTTTAATAATAAAAAAAATCAAATTTTTAAAACAACTAACATATTTTGATTGAACCTAATCATATATATATATATATATATATATATATATATATATATATATATATATATATATATATATATATATATATAACTTTTATCCTATCATGTTTTTATCCTTTCCCTGTATCATATCTTATCTATTTGAAACATGTGACAAGTAGAAAAACTAGTTCTCTTATTTTCCTAAGTCAATCAAATTTTAACCTAGTGTAGCACGAACCTTCGGCCTTCCTTTGTGTACCAACTTTCATGGGATTGGCCGCCGATTATAAAAAGTTTGAAAAAAGAAATACCTTTTAGTCCAAACCAAATAAGAATAAAAGAGTAAAGAGTTCCTTTGAATCATAATTTTTCTTGCTTCCTCTTTCTCTTGTTTCGAAATATAGAAGTAGAAAATACAAGATTTCACAAACCCAACCCAGTTTTAAACTACTTGAAATCAAATTTTAAGACAGGCAACTGCAATTTGTCTCTATTCCCATTTGCTACAAGTTTTTGAGAGGAATTACCACTCTAATGTAAAAATTCAGAAAAAAAAAAAAAAAAATCTGAATCCAATGAAATTGTGCCACTTCGCTTCTCCACTCCCATCCCAGCTAAAAGAAAGCTCAAAGTTTTGTGCTGGTAAGCAGATTGGAATGTTTACATCACACTGATGTAAACAAACCAAAGCTGGCAGTGATTAATGGACTTCTCAAAGCTGGTCATTAACTGTCTAGATCATCTAGAATCTTTTCATTTACCGGCAAACCAAAAGGTGCTGTCAACTACGAAATGGTGGTTGATTTTCAAAAGGAAGCTCTACTGGTGTTGCATTACCATAAAACTCTTCCAAATTGTAGAAAGCTCTCTGTGAGGGAAGGAAGATGTGGACAACAACATCGCCTGTTATCAAGAAACAATCACAATGCCAACAAGGATCAGACAGTACTTAACCAGATTACCAAACCCAACCTAATGCAGAACTAGTGAAGTCACTGTTTCCACTAATTGACTGATCAAAGTCCATTGACCAAGTGAACTCTTGAGCTGTGCATTTATAAATGCTAGTATATAGGCTTTTTGGATTTAGAAGCAATTTTTTATTGATTGCTAAAACAACTTTGGTGGATAAATGAATTTCTATTAGCAGAACATGCTATTACAGTTTACAATCACTTACCGAAGTCCAACAGGGTCCATGAGTTGGGCTTTGTATCTCCTGTTGGAATTTTTCCATATTTCTTCTCAGCTCTATCTCTCATTCTGGACCTAAAATGCAATATCAACATAAGTGAATTCCTTAAACATTGCCTTCTCAATATAAGAAGATGAATGACAAAGCCAATACCTGATAGCATCGATCTGGGGACGAGAAAATGCTGTAGCTATGATAAAAAATCGGGTCCAGTAAACAAGTGGCTTCACAAACAAGACCTTTATATCTGCTGCCTTAACCTCAGTTGCAACCGTAGCCAGTTCCACAGCAACTACAAAAATGTCACTTAACAATCAGATAGTACTTGAAGGTACAGTATATTTCTCCCTCTCTAAAATAGGTTCATGTAAACAGAAAGTAATTGAACTAGTTTTTCTAACTGTTGAACACACAACAGTATGATAACAGGAGCTAAGCTAGAGATATTATGTTAGTATGCAGGGGAAAATAACCTAATCTTACAGAAGCATTCCATGGTACAGAACAATTAAACAGAAAAGTAAAAACCAATGCACCCCAACTGAGAAGACACATTTACAAATTAGGTCTTCAGCAGAGAGGATTTTCTACTGAGGGAAGCACACAAGATTCACACAAAAAATATATAACAAAGTTCAAATTGTCCCGGTAAAATTTCATTGTACATGCTTAATGTTCTAACAACTAACATGGGGATTAACTGTGTTCACATATATGATGTAATATTTTTACAAACAGAATCTACTTACTCATCAATAATTAAGTCAGAATGACACAGAACTAAATGCATGGGTCAATCAATCTAAGCATAACAGGAATATGGAGGAGAGGGGCCATGGAGGCATGTTAAGTAGCATGATTTGTTCACAAGCACACATGGAAACAATTACATTCATCAGTTAAACAACCATATCCATAAAAAATATTTTATCAACTTACAGATACGCTAAAGAAATTCAAAATATCCAACAAACTGACAAAGTTGAGTTTAGGTTGTTTAGTTAAATTTGACTCCAATCACCCACCAGAGTTGAAGGCATATCAGGGTATTCATGAGTATCCACTTCCCTTTACAGCCCCACAGCAGCAGTGTATACTTTATTTTCTTCTTCATTAATTTATCTCACCTTTATTCTCCATTACAGAACCGTATTCTACCAGAATTTTCATGTTCTACAGCTGCCTAATAAGTACCCAAGTTCTAGGGGAACCTACCCTCAAAAACTAGCTATTAAGGGGGAAGAACGAAGCACTTCAATACATTAACAAACACCCAATTACCCAAGTTCCTATCATGCACCACCCCTAACAACTTAGGTCATGGGGGCTTTCACTCTACAACCTTTCATTAGCCCTTCTTGAGACAACAATTAGCTCCGATACCAATTGATAAGTACTCAAGCACTTGGGAAATCCAACCTCAAAAGCTAACTATTAACAATTAGCTCTGATACCAATTGATACGTACTCAAGCACTTGAGAAATTCAACCTCAAAAGCTAACTATTAAGGGGTAAGAACCAAGCACTTAAATACTCCACTGAGCATACATACAACTCAGTGTGGGACTTCAGCAATACCGTAATACCCAAGTCACTATCAGTGCCTAAACTCCTAAGCTTGTGTACATATTTTTCAATCTATAAGTAATATGCCTACCTATAATCTATAGAAATGAACTTGCATAATTTTAATCTTGTTATCATGTCTGCTCAAGGCCCTACAAAAATGTCAATTGAAAAAACTGTACTGATGTCTGTTTTTAGAAACTATCATGTGTCCTGCTTCAGGAGACATTCAGTGCTGATCAAGTTTAGAGGTTTAGAAGATAGTAGGTTTAGCTAGAAGCAGTAGATGACAGTTTCAGCCAGCGAGTCCTTTTACAATAACAACCACCACAGCCTTTTCACACTAGATGGTGTAGGCTACATGAATCAAATGGAGCCATTGTCTTTTGTTAAAACTAATTCTTCCTAGAAGCTGTTATTCCTAAATTGCTTTACAAGATTCTTGTGTAATATGTCATCCTTCAGATAATCTGACAAGCCAATCTTCTTGAAGAAACCTGATATAATCCAAAATGTTGAAAACAACAGACTGAACATGAATGTAAAAATGGTGGAAACAAATTCTTTGATAAAACTTCTTTTCAGCTTACATGACAGGCTTTCAGCATCATCATCAATCTCTGCGCTAGCAGGCTTTTTGTCTTTTCTACTAAATACCACTTTTCCATAATTATTAATTAAATCTTCATACATGTCATCTGTGTCTTCATTTACATCCTGCAAAGTACACCATTTATGTTACTTACGTAGCCTTAAAGATGATCATCAATCGCAATTCACATGACAAACTTTACAGAAATATCTAAATTTCATTAGGAAGGGAATTAGTTGAGATTTAATGTTATAAATCCATCCAGCACACAAGTAAATAAAATGAGAAAAACAGTCCTATAAAAGTTACTGGATCCTATATTCTCAATTTTAGCAGTTAACATCCAAGTGAGTTCATAAGATACACTGTTTTCAAGACGAGAATAGGTATGTAGTGATGAATAGCATTATTATCTCAAAGAATCAACACAACCGAAACATAAAAGATTGATGACAAAACAATGAAATTCCTGCATAATCCTCCTTAACACCAGATTTGGATCACCAGTGATGAGGGGAATGGAAAAAGAAATGTGGTGAAGATGACAAGGTTCACTTGTTGACACGAAGATCAAGGACATGGGAATTAATTCTCTTTCTTTTCCTGAAAAAGAAGTTTTTGTTTTCATAAAATGGGTGAAATAGGGGAACTAATTTGTATAGTTTAATTTTACATTCTGCTCCACTCTTTTTATAATTAAGTCCCTAATAAGTTATAAACCTTGTCATTATCTGTTGATATGTACCCAAGCAAAAGACATTGAACCTCCCATCTTGAATACCAGATAAAATGTGAATATACAAAAAATGAACTTTACCAAAGATCAAAACTATATCGGAAAAAGGGGTGGCTCCTCAAGGTTTTCTAAATTGCATGCCTAAGTCAACATTTTATAAAAGTAAGTTTTCAAAATTTCAATACCTCGCTCTTCTGACAACACAAAACATAGTTGTTCCTTAGGTACCTGTGAAGTTTTCCAACCAAAGTTGGAGTTTCACATCAATAATTCTAATGATATTTTGAAGCTACATTAAATTAACCACCATAATTTTTTTAAGAAAAACAGGAAATTGCAAAGAATAATATTATATTGTACCGAGAAAAAGCTGTCTTCGGCTTTTTTACCGAATGCGAAGCTCGAACGTGAGTTTCTCTGCTTCGATTTAAAACCATTGATGGTGTGTTGCTGTAAAGGAAGCCCCTCTATGCACGAACGGCTAAAAACCTTTCTGGGTCTTGGCATACACTTGGATTCGTGATGACCACAGCCGGAAAAAATCACCGGCACGACGGTGCCGGCGCCGGCGCCGGCAAGAGACATGACAGTGGATGCTGGTAGCATTTGTCGCGGCCAAAAGAGATATTTACGAAACAAAAAGATAGCAAAATGAAATGAGAAAGGGTGTAGCGATATTATTGGAATTTCCTTCATTTTTTATTATTTCATTTTTTTTTTACTTTTAAATAAATACTTCAATTGCAATATGTTTCTTTCTTCTTCTCTTGAAAATATCTAATGTATATTTTCTTGGAATTGTAACTTTTAACTTTTAAATAAATTAATTCAATTTTTGAGAAATTAATTTATATACTTTTGTAAAAAAAAATACAAAAAATGATCTAATTATACTCTAACTATGATTTATTTACCATAGTTTAGAGTTAAGAATAAGTTATACTGTTTTATCAAATTATACTAACACTCTAATTTTTTTAAAAATTATACACAAACCTCTTCTTTATTTTAAAAACATTATATTGTTCTTCTTTTTATATATATTTTTTTAATTTTATATATTAGCTTACATTATAGATTTTTATATTGATATACAAATGTGTATATTTATATATTTATTATTTTCAAATATATTGTTACGTGATGCTTGTTAACTTGACGTGATAGAATAGAATCCATAACAACAAACATTATGATTGGTTAAGCATTAAAAGACGTGTAAAATATTATGACTGGTCTAAGATATATAAATAATAAATAGAACTGTAAATAAATATTTGCTTTTAAATGTCACAACTAACCAATAATTTGAGAATGTTTATGAAAAAAATAATCTTTTATTTAATAAAAGAATTGGAAGTATCCTCAAATCAATATAACTAAATTTCTTCAAAAGTTTGTCACCTTTATTTTCTTTTTTTATTTAGTTTTATAAAATAAAAAACATATTTATAGGACTAATATACCTGATGTGTTAAAATTAGTAAATAAAAAATATTTTGTATGTCTTATAATATGTAAATGTTTTTATTAACCGGCATAAAAGTAGCATAAGCATAATTATTATTTATGAAAGAATAATTTAACAAGTATGTATGATTTTTTTTTCAAATTTTATAAAATTTTGAGGTTGATTCATGTAAATTTTTGTTGGAACAACACAAATATACTACAAGACTAAAGTAAATAATAATAACATAAGAAATTAGGTAATTTAATCATAATAATCTATGTTTATCGTTACATTATATAGTAGTTTTCATTTACTTAATTAGGTTTATAATTACATAAGTATATATAATAAAAAAAAGTAAATAGATCAGACCCAATTCCCTTGGTAAATATAGTAAATCTCGAAGTTATAACACATAAAGCTAGTGTAATGCTTTCTTAACAATTAACTATGAAGGTTAGTTAAAGTTATGTAAAACTTCAACTTCTCAATAGTAATTACCTTAGTCAACATATTTGCAAGATTTTCTGACTCAATGATCTTTTCCAAAAATAAAGTACCATCACTTATTAATTTTTTAATGAAGTGATACCTCATGGATGTATTTTATTCTTACATAAAAAACATGATTTGTGGCAAGATGAATGACACTCTGATTATGGCTATAAAGAACATTGTCACACTAGTTCTTACACTGTTTTTCAAGAAAAAATTTCAACCAAATCATTTTCTTACTAGCTTCTGAAATAGTCATGTACTCTGCTTTTGTGGTTGAAAGTACAATGTTTTTTTTTTAAAGTCAAGACATCCAACTAAATATTGTGTCACCTACTGTTAAGACAAATCTTGTAGTACTATTCCTTGTGTCTAAACAACTTCCCAAATCTGCATCGAAATATCCTTTCAAAATGACATCATTTCTTCTAAAACATAATGTAATTTAAGAAGTACCTTTTAAGTAGTGTAACAACCACTTGACAGCTTCTCAATGCTTCATTCATGGATTAGACATGAATCTGCTAATAACTCTCACTGCATGAACAATGTTTGGTATAGTGCATGCCATTGCATAAATTAAGCTATCAACTGCAGATACATAAGGAACTTTAGTCATTGTTGTCTTGTCTTCATTTGTCTTAGGTGACTCCTCTTTAGTGAGAAAGTGAACTCCCAAAGGTGTACTTATAATTTTGGCACCTGCATATTGAATTTTTCTAACACTTTTCCAATATAACTCTCTTGAGATAATATTAGGGAACATTCAAATTTTTTCCTGCTGATATTCATGCTCAAAATCTACTTTGCAATACCCAAATCATTCATCTCAAACTCTTCAAACAATTGTACATTCAATATATTAATTTCGTTCCTATTAGAACCTGCAACTAACATGTCATCAATATATAATAGTAATATGATATAAGATGAACAAAATTTTTCATATAACAACATTGATCCATGACACACTTCTTATACCATTTCCTAATCATAAAACTATCAAACTTCAAGTACCACTGTCTTGATGTTTGCTTCAACCCATACAAACTCTTGGTCAACTTGCAAACCAATTTTTCTTTCCGTGTCACTTGAAAACCCTCTGGTTGCACCATGTAGATGTCCTCATCAAGGTCAATATGTAAGAACGTTGTCTTAACATCTAGATACTCTAGATGTAAATCCTCTACAACCATAATAATCAACACAAGTCTAATGGTAGTCATTTTAACTACAGGAGAAAAAATATCATTATAGTCAATACCTCTTCATTGCTAAAATTATTTCACTACTAACCTTGCCATGTATCTTTTGCTATCGTCATGTTCTTCCTTAATCCTAAACATTCACTTGTTCTGCAATGCCCACTTTACTGCTGGTAGGTCAATCAAACACCAAGTTTATTTTTCTCAAGTGAGTTCATCTCCTCTTGCATGACTAACTCCCACTGAGTTGCATCATCCATCTGTAATGCCTATGATAACACACATGTTTTCCATCGTCGTTAGTCAACAACAAATAATTTACTAGAGGAGAAAATCTGTGAGAAGGCTTAATAACTCTACTAGATCTCTCACTTCAACTATTGAAGTGATAAAAGTGATCTCCTCAATAATCCTGTCTCCTGAACTCCCACCTTTTACTGGAAGATCATCTTCTACAATGTTCTCTAACATTACTTTTCCCTTTTCTATTGGTTTTTTTCAGCTTCAGCTTTTGTCTCAAGTTTGTCTTTGTGCACTGCATTTTCATTTAATATAACATCTTTGCTTCTAATGTTATTTTTGTTCTGATCATCCCATAAATGATATCCCATAGCATTTGCTCCATAGCCAATGAAAATACACTTTCTTCTTTTCGGATCAAGCTTGTCTTTGTCAACATCTTTAACACGAACATAAGAAAAACAACTAAATATTTGTCTTGGCACTCCTCCTTAGGAATCTTGAATCCTATGGGAACTGACCTCGATTAATGAGGTATGATAGTGTGTTCACTATTTATGCCCATAATGTCTTCGGTAACCCTGCATGAATTCTCATACACTTTGTCCTCTCATTCAAGGTTCTGTTTATTTTTGCTGAGGTGTCTCAGGAATATTTTTTAGCATTCTAATTTAATTATCAACACAGTAATCAACAAATTCAGTACTATTATATTTATCATCATTATCATACTTTAAACATTTAATTTTTAACCTTGTCTTATTCTTAATAATGATTTTCCACTTCTTAAAGGTATTAAATACTTTTTATTTTTGCTTTAAAAAATAAACTCATAACTTTATAATAAAATTATTAATGAAGGTAACATAGTATCGTGATCTTCTTAATGATGAGACTGATGTTGGTCCATACACATCTGTATGAACAAATTCCAACTTCTTTACCTTGGGCATCTTCCCTGACTTAGAAAAAGTAACTCTATTCTACTTCCTAAACACACATGGTTCATAGAAACTAACTTCTACATTTTTCAGTTCTCGAATCTTCCCCTTTGAGACTAGTATTTTCATACCCTTCTCGCTCATGTGACAAAGTCTTTGGTGCCACAAAGTCGAATGATAGTCAACATCATCACCAATTGAATTTATTTCTGCTACAGGTAATTCTGTCATGTGTAGGATTCATTTCTTCTAGCCACAAGCAATAATTAGATTAACCTTCACCACTTTCCACTGACCTTCTTCGAAAAAGACTTGATATCCTTGAACGTTCAGCATGCCCACAAAGATTAACATTCTCTTGAGTCTTGGAATATACCTAACATCCTTCAGTGTCCAGACTATACCCGTAAAAGTTTTAAGATTTATATCTCTCATGTCTGTGCTATCTAAAACTTCATCATCTGTTAAACGCACTTTGTCAAAATTCTCACTTCTAAAACTTTTTATCAAGTCCTTGCAAGGAAAAGCATGGAAAGATGCACCAGAGTTCGTGATCTAGATTCAAACTTGCTCTCAACATAACACATCAACGCATCATTAATGTCCTATTGTGTTATATTCATTGTATTGTCATGTCTCTTTTCTTTAGAAACATTACACTGGTTCCTAAAGTATCTATTCTGTTGACAATTTCAACAAGTGATATCCTTGCGAGGTTTGGATTGTACTCGCTTCTTGGACTTTGATCTACCATGCTAAGAGTTTTGTCCTTTTTCAGGCTTTCTACCTCTACTTTCAGTGTTTAATAAGGAATTTGTTGATTCTCTAGTATTCCTTTTACGAATATCCTTATTAAGAATTTAATCTGTAATTATTTCAAAGGTTAATTTCGTAGTCCTAGATGTACTGCCTACTGCGATGACAGTTTCTTACTAACTATCAGACAACAAAGATAGCGACAACAGACTTATACTTCATCATCAAATTTAATATCTACTAACACTAATATTGATAATAAGGAACTAAATTCATTAACATCTTCGTATTAACTAACTAACGAATCAAGAATACCTTGTTTGATGTTGATGTCTCCTTGAACATGTTTGATAATGTCTTTATCAAACCATATATTGTCTTCTCATTGACAATGTTGTAGGCAACATTTTTCGCCAATGTTAATCTGACGACATTCAAAGTTTGTTTATCTAATAACTCCTAATTTGCCTGAGACATCGTTTCTGGTTTATTCTTGAACAAAGGTTGGTGCAACTTTTTTTGATACAGATAATCCTCAATTTGCATCTTTTAAAATCCGAAATCGCTTCTATCGAACTTGTCAATCTTCACTTTTCTGTCTTCAGCCATTGCTCTCACTTGCGTGAAAAAAAAAAAAAAACTAAACTCTGATACTAGTTGTTAGGAGATTAAAAGACAAAAAATAAATAACAAGAACATAAGAAATTTACGTGATTCAATCAAAATAATCACCACTCACAACTACACTAAATGATAATTCTCATTTATTTAATTAGGTTTATAATTACATAAGTATTTATAATAAAAAAATGAATCAGACTCAATAAATAACCTTTAGACTCAATAACCTTTAGACTCCACCTACTTAATCATTTTCTCTTCTAAATTATCATTTCAAAAATCAATTTATTAAAATTTCTGCATTAAAAATATAAGAAAGAGTAATAAATAACAATAAATTGTCTTAAATTTAACTATACATTTATACATTTTTTTTCTAATAATTATTTACTTCATGACAACCAATCTCTTTTTTTAAAAAGGCACAATAGATTTCATAATTTTATTATAAGATTTAAGATTATTAAGAAAAAATATTGAAAATAAAGACTCTAAATTCTTTATTTTATTTTTTTTATCTTTACCTTTTCGGGTTCAATATTTTTAATTACATTATTATTGGAAGCAAACAAATTTAATCATTTTATCCTTTAAAATAAAAAGATTTTCAAATTATCTCTAAATTATGTTAGTAATTTCAATCACTTATTAATAACCAGGGATATGCAAGTGGTGTCATGCAGAAAGTAATCAATAAACACACAATCAAGAATTATAGGTCATTTTTTTTATTAAGAAAAATATTAACACTTTAAGGGATATTCAAATTTTAAGATATTTCAAATATGATTATTTTTTCTCCAAAACACGTAAGAACTTTTATTAAAATATTTATAAGAAATTATATTAAGAATACAACAAGTAGAATAAAGTTTTACCTCGCATATATCTTTTTATAAGAAACTTACACCTAATTCATGATCGAGGTTTATCTAGACATTAAGGCCATAACTTAGATCCCTTGGCAACTCACATAAAATTAGGTAGATCCATACCTTAATACTAAATTAGAATCCTAATTAACTAACCATTATCACATAATCTTAATACATCAAAACTTCTCAACCACTAAATTTATCCAAATCAAACCATAATATATCTAACTTTCCCAAACCTATATTCCAAGAAAATCCAAAATCAAAAGAAAACATTAGCTCATTGTATCCTAATTTGCTCCTAAAAATTATGAAGGAGAGTAAAACCATATCAAGACAAAACTAAACTAACAAAAGATTCACCTTTTCAAAACTAAAATCATGTGGACATTTAATGAGATAAAAGAAATAAATAGAAAAAACACATAGTCATATCAAATTTTTGATTGGATAACGTTGTTTTATACTTTTCCTATCTTATGTTCTGATAAGAGAAAGATGAAAGATGAAATTTAAAATTTAGAAAGAAACAATAACTAATATTGACTAATAATTTTAGGAATTCAAGGAAAAAACATTTTAAAATAAATAGATTAAAATCTCTTGAATTTTTTCTTTCAAGACTTAGAACTAAAGAACCATTAAATTTTAAATATATACAAAATTTAAATAATTTAGACTAACATAAATCTAATAATTATTAAATTTAAATATATAAAAAATTAGAAGAGTGAAAATTATAAATACGTAAATATTTTAAGAATAATTTCATCAGTATAAGGTTGCATTGCAGCGAGAAAATTTTTGATACGACAGAAAGGAAAGAAGTTACCAAATTTGCTTCCACTGAATGTGCATTTTGGCTAGTAAAAGGTAGGTAAACTTCTATATAAAAGTTTTAGAATAAATAAATAAAGTTAACTTTTTCATAAATTTAAATTTGTTTCATCCATATATCAATACATGATAGAAATTCTTTCACATAATTTATTGAAAAAATGATTTTTTACAAAATTAATTTTAACTTAAAAAATTAATAGTTCTTTTTAATTTTTTTAAAAGCCCTCAGAAATAAGCCAGTTAATTCGTCTAATATATTATTGAGTTTTTTAAAATAAAATAGTATATTTGAATTTTGTGAATAGACAAAAATGATTGGAAAAAAAATTCATTTACAGAATTGAAGTTTTATTTTTATATATATATATATATATATATATATATATATATATATATATATATATATATATATATATAGAGAGAGAGAGAGAGAGAGAGAGAGAGAGAGAGAATATAAAATATTATAATTATAATATATGAAAGACTAAAAATATCACTGTTATGATACTAGAAAAAATTATTTGACTAAAATAAAATTTAAAATACTATATATATATATATATATATTAAATTTTAATTTATACATCATACCTCAAATGATTTTTGAGTGATAATAATTATAATTTATTAAATATTCATGCAATAATTATCTTTAGATATATATATATATATATATATATATTATTTATTTTATTAGTTTTTTTATCGATAAAAAACTATTTTTAAATTATCTAATATATTAGAAACTTTTGGATCTCAATTTATTTGTTTTTTTTTAATGGTTTTTTGAGAGTGATAAAGAATACTAATCATGAAATTCATAAATTTTCAACCAAACTTTCAAAAGTACAAGAAAAATAAAAGGAGCAGCTTCCATCAAATGGATAATAAATACATGCTGTCACAGAACAGGATGAAAATAACCCTTATTCTTCCATCGCTACAAAGAATACAAAACAAATGATAGAAGGAGAAAAAAAATCTGCTATCAAGCACAAATCTATGACATGATTCCATCAGAAGCAACAATCGAGGACCCAGCAGCAACATAAAGCAGCACAACTGCAAGAAAAAACATTCAAATTAAACAAAGTTTAGTTCAATGGAAAAAAGAGAGTAGAGTTTAACAAGGTATATATAGTGATTTTGACTATATGAACTTACCATCCCTTCCAGAAGCCATCACCCCTACTTGTGGTTTCCTCTGGAACCCTTTGTTGAGGGTACCCTACAGAGCCATCCTTGGAGGGATAACCCATAGGTGGTGGAGCAGTGACATATGGAGCTGAAGAATAGGTCTGACCCTGTGGTGGATATGATACTGCAACATCAAAACAATATCATGTCATTAAACTTGGTTAAGAAAAAAGTATCTTTCATAGAGATTTGGAAACAAAAGTAGATAAAAACCAGTTTGAACATTTCATAATGTCGAATATAAAAAGAACGCACCAGGGGTTTCTTGGTGGTTGCCGAAGTGATTCATGGTGGTGGTGATGAAGTTGTTCTTTTCTGGTGAAACAGTAGTTTAAGAATAAAGAGATGATAATGATGATGATGATGAATAATGGTATGTGATGAGAAAGTTTGAAGCAAATATATGTTATATATAGGTTTGTTTATTGGGCTATGAGGATGAATCTTAACGCGATAGAAGATTTCAAACGCGTTCAAAGGGCGAAGAAAAACAAGACGCGTTTGAATTTTTTAAGTTCTTAAGCAATTGAAAATTGTTGTGTTTGGACAAGCGACGTAAGGCGCGTGGCATGCTCCATCTAATATCTTCAACTTTTCAAAGTCGGTCGCGTACGTTGCCAAACATTAATTCGGCTCCGGCTTTCTAGATGTGGATAGAGTCACCGTATCAATCAGCAGATGTCATAGTGTGATATATATTTTTCTTTTAAAAATTAAGCAATAAGATAATAAATAAATGTTTTTAATATCATTTATGTGATTTAAATGTTTATAATATTTAAATAGTATTTTCATTAGCTACATTTTATATTATTAAATAAAATACTTTTTATATAAAATATCAACAAGATCATCAATATATAATAAGACAGTGTAACACTTTAATATTAAGTAACAATCTCTTTATGTCTTTTTTATAATATATAATATGATTATTGTTAATTTAATATGATAATTTAGTGTAATATTTATGATTATATTAAATATTATATTATTTAAATTTGATTAATAAAATAATAAATTATTGATAAATACGTCACTTGTTATACCTAATTTCTAAAAATGAATGAGGAAATTATTTTGTTAATATATTTTGTAGTAATGAAATTGAACATGATTTTGAATGTAGTAGTATTTGTAATAGTTATAAATAAATTTGTAAGCATATATCACTAAAGTGAGATAAAGAAATGAAAAAAAATATATTAGTCTTTTACTTATTATACACCAAAATATCTAATTAAAATATATATAAAAAAAGCACGTCAAAGGAAAGGAGAAAATTAATTTTAAAATTTTCTGCCATCATGATAATAGTGATTGAAAATAATACTCACATATTTCTAAATTAACATCAACATTACGAGAAACACACATAAAGAAAAAAGAAAAACAAAATATTCAAAAAATTATTCACATAAGACGAAAAAACTTTTTTTTTTAACTGGATTTATATTAATAATAATAATAATTATTATTCTCTTAATTCACTTACATGTTTTTTTCTCAAATATATATAGAGTTCATATGAATTGAGATAAAAAGAATTTATATATATCCTCATCTTTTAACTTACACAGACATTCTCATTTCTTAACCTATCTTATCAACATATTAGAGTTTATATAATCTAATTTAAAAAATTTTAAACTACATTATATTTAACCATAATAAGTTATATATTTTAAAATCAATTGGAAATTTATATTTTAAAATCTTCAATCCGAAATACTTTTTGTTAAGGTGTAATTCATTTTTTTTGTTATATTTTAAAAAGACTGTAAGAATTTAAAAAAATCATTTTTATTATCACACTATGACAAGAGGTGCGTGCATGAAGAAAATATGCATGTACAGGTGCACCAAGAAATATGAAGTGCAGGAAGCAATTGCTCATTGTTAGCCCATTCAAAGCCTAAATGCACTCTAAGCCCAAGACCCAGTGGCCCACCTACTTCAGAACGCAAAGGAAAAACCTAGTCACCCTCGTCAACCTCAAATCATAAATTCCAAGAGAACAGCAAGAAGCAAGTGTTGTCCGAGCTTCCATTTTCGGAGAGAAAAGCCGATTTCGAAGAGGAACGCGATTCGGCATCTGTTTTCGAGGCCAAATTTGGTCACTGTAGTAGCTCAACTTACCCACTCTGAAACCCCACTAATCGGTAATATGATTTTTAATTTTTATTTTCTTAATTTATCTCTATCATTTTTTGTTGATTACTATTTTTTAATGCGTTTTTCATGTTTATCGGTGCATTTGTCGAGAGGGGTGCTCTATGCTTATTGTTCTATTGTCAGGGCTAATTATGCCTATGATTTTAATATAATATAAAACCCTAGATATGCATAAAATCCTAATAACATGCTTGTACATTCTGCATTATCTACAATACAGTGGTAAATTTTCTCTCTGCTTTTGGTGACTAATGTTATTCTGAATGAAAAGGGATGGGTAATATGTTTGCAGCTTTTTTTGAGAAGCTTTGTTGCCCACTTTTATTGATTAGTTTTGATTTTGGCTGCCTTGAGCCGTGTTTTCCCTATCTACTCACTTGTTGTTATTTGGAACATCTTTACACCACTCCAGATTATTCTATCGACTGAAAATTTACTAAAGAAACTGTGCCTAATTGATATGGTATCCATAAGCCAGGGGGTGTGGTTAGTGCCTTAGTGGTGGACAGTTTCTGGGTAGTATGAGTTGTTAACGATGGGGCCTATGTTCATGGTATGAAGGCTGTGGATGAATGCGAAAATAGTGTTATTAGTTGTAATGTCATTTGGTCAATGATTCTCTTAAAACATTTTGTATGTAATGGATTATATTTTTCTTTTCCTAGCATGTGCAACTCCCAGTGATAAGAATTTTTTAGCTGTAGGTTAAACTCACTTTCATTAACATACTATTTATGTATTATATGACTCATTATATATCTAAACATTTAAGGCTATGATGATGTCTTTTTGATGTCAGTAAAACCAAATAGATGATGTGGTAGAATTGAAGCACCTTGCTTGAGGCTATGATTTTGTTAAAAGTTGAAAATGGTTATCAACTATGTTGTTGTTATTACGTACAAAGGAAAAACAGAGTGAACGTAAAGGGTACAGGAAAAACAAAGTTACTGAATAGTACGTGTGTTGCATGCATGCATGCAACTGAAGTTTTATTTATATCAGAAAACAGATAACAGAAAAACAGAATTTGCAACAGAAACTTTTTAGTTTGACTTATTCAACACTTCTCCTCAAACTAAAAATAACATGAAACATCTACAACACCAAGATTATCTCTGAAACGTTTGAATTTTTCATTTTTCAAAGGTTTTGTTAAAACATCCGCCACTTGTTCCTCAGATTTGCAGTAATCAATCTCTAGCTTCCCAGCTGCCACTTGCTCCCGAATGAAATGGTATTTAAGCTCTATATGTTTACTCCTACCGTGTAGAGCTGGATGCTTTACGAGGCTTATTGCCGATTGATTATCAATCAGTAACTTCATCTTTTGCACCTGTTCAACTCCCAATTCTCTCATCAGTGTTGTCAACCAGATTCCTTGGCATGCTGCATTGGATGCTGCAACATATTCAGCTTCGCAACTTGAAAGAGCTACGATGGGTTCTTTCGTAGAGCTCCAAGAGATTGGTGCTTTTCCAAGAAAAAACACATACCCAGCCGTACTCTTTCTATCATCCCTATCACCACTCCAATCAGCGTCAGTAAACCCAACCAGTCTGTTTTCTCCTTTGGCAAGCATGATTCCCAGTTTCAATGTTCCATGAAGGTACCTTAAAATGCGCTTTACAGCAAGTAGATGAGATGCTTTTGGTTCCTGCATATACCTACTAACCAAGCCAACACTCAAACTAAGATCTGGTCTTGTGTTGCAAAGGTATCTCAGGCTGCCCACGATACTTCTATACTCGCTACTGGATCCACGTTTTCTTCGTCAGGACTTAGCTCAAGCTTCAATCCGGACTCGCAGGGGTGCTTGCGAGTTACTCCGATGCATCCCAAATCTTTTTACTAAGTCCCTCGCATACTTCGTCCGATGTAGCAACATCCCAATGGGTGTTCTCTTGAACTCTATGCCAAGAAAGTAACTCAAGTTTCCCGGATCGGTCATTTCAAATTCGAAAGGAGATCACGCTTGCACTCACGGATCGGCTTCTCGGTGCTTCCAAGTGACCGGGAGATTGTCAACATATAGGCAAATGATGACTTTCTCATTACTGTGCTGCTGCATTTTCACGTAAACACCGTGCTCTGATTTACATTTGATGAACCCAATCTGCTCAAGGAATGTGTCAATGCGTTTATTCCACGCTCTTGGTGCCTGCTTAAGCCCATATAGAGCCTTCTTCAATTTATAAACTTTGTTTTTCTTCTCCTGATGTTCAAAGCCACTGGGTTGTTGCACATAAACCTCCTCCTCCAGTGGACCATTGAGAAAGGCAGATTTAACATCTAACTGATGTAATGACCAGTTAGAGTTTATAGAAAAAGCAACCACTAATCTAATCGTCTCCAATCGAGCAACAGGTGCATAAACCTCACTGTAGTCTATCCCTGCTCTCTGCAAGAACCCTTTGGCGACGAGTCTCGCTTTATAGCGCAAAATCTCTCCTTTAGGATTCATCTTCGGCTTATAGACCCACTTGAGCGCAATGGGCTTCTTACCAGGTGGTAGTGGGACAAGTTCCCAAGTCTGGTTCTTCTCGATGGAGTTAATCTCTTCCTCCATTGCACTCAGCCAGTGAGGATTCTTCACTGCTTCTTCAAATTCTACAGGTTCTGCCTCTGCAATCAACGCAAAATGAATCAAGCTCCCATCCGCTGTTACTGCTGAATCATCAAAGATTTCGTAATCCCTCAGACGTGAAGGAAGATGTGATGTGCGCTGTGATCTTCTTGTAGCTGACGCTTCACCTTGGTTCTGATCTTCTGAGTCAGTTTCTTCATCGAAAGTCACTTTGGTAGTGTTTTCTTCTTTCTCAACACGATCCCATGACCAACTGCTTGCCTCATTGAACGTAACATCACGACTGATTGAAACCTGTTTTGTGGCAGGATCAAACAACTTGTATCCCCCTGTTACATGATAACCAATGAACACATGCGGTGTGCCTTTGTCATCGAGCTTTCTCCTTAGTGGGTCTGGCACATGCTTATAGCACATGGATCCAAAAATTTTGAAGTGTGAAACACTTGGTTTGACACCTGTCCAGGCTTCTTCTGGTGTCACCTCTAGACGTTTTGTTGGTGCATGGTTCAACATGTGTGCAGCAGTAACAACTGCCTCTCCCCAGAACTGGTTTGGCACATTCTTTCCCTTCAACATGCACCGTATCATGTTTAGCAAGGTCCTATTCATACGTTCAGCAGTTCCATTATGTTGGGGGGTATAAGGTGGAGTCTTCTCATGAATTATTCCCTCCTTCTCACAAAATGAGCTGAAGTTTATTGATGAATACTCACCACCTCCATCACTACGCAAGACTTTCAACTTCTCCCCACTCTGCCTCTCAACCATCCTGACAAACTTTTCAAACACTTCTTGAACGTCACTTTTCCGTGCAAGCAAATACACCCACAATTTTCGTGTGTATTCATCAATGAAGGTGAGTATGTATTTGTTCCCTCCTGGAGTTGTGACCTGCATAGGACCACAAACATCAGTGTACACAACTCCTAGCTTTTTGGTTGCTCTTCCACCAACAAATTTCTTGAAGCGCAACCTAGTTTGCTTGCACTGGATACATTCTGAGCAGACTTCTTCTGGTATTTTGATTTGTGGTAACCCTGTAACAAGATTATCATTACTGAGTCTATACAAATCATGGAAATTGAGGTGCCCAAACCTGTTGTGCCATAGCCATTCTCCATCATCAACTACGGAAGCAAAACACTCATGTCTACGTGTGTTCATCCCCACTCTAAACGTTCTATTTTCTGAGAGTTTGGCATGAATCACCAACCTTTTATCTTGATCAAGTATGCTAAGCCCATTCTCCTTCAATTCCATAAAGAACCCTTTCTGTAGAAGCTGCCCGAGACTTAGCAAATTGGTTTTTAATCCAGGTACGTAGAGAACATCATCTATGATGATTTCTCTATTCTCATGATCAATTAACACCACGCGACCTCTCCCTTCGCTTGCGGACTCCGATTATCTCGCGAACCTGATCTTCCCGTGTGAAACATCACTTAACTTGATGAACCAATCCCGACGTCCGGTCATGTGGGTAGAACAACCGAATCAAGATACCATGAAGATGATTCTTCTGAACTTTCTTCGCTGGTCTTTGCCATGAGCATTACTATATCTGAATCTGATGAAGCATCATCTTTAGCTAGGTTAGCTTGATTCTTGGACATCGCCTTGGACCCTTCACCCTTCCAACACTCACGAGCAAAGTGCCCAAGCTTTTGACAATTATAGCACTTCACCTTTTTCTTGTCAAATTTCCAGCCTTTCTCTCCATTGTTCTTGGTGCCATGACTCTTACTTTTTTCTAAATCACCTGCAACATCATCTTGGTTGGCACCCTTTGACTGTTTCGTACTCTTCTTGGTTCCTTTTGATTTCATTTTGTAACTCGATCTCGCTTGCAAGGCCTGTTCTAGCATTTGTTTTCTCTCACTGAGTCTGTATTCATGGGCCTCCAAGGAATGTTGCAGCTCCTGAATCCCAAGATGCTCCAAGTCTTTCGTTTCTTCAATCGTAATTACAAGATGATCAAAACTCGGTGGAAGAGATCTTAATACCTTGTTTACAATATGCTGCTCTAAAACTGTGTCACCGCATGCTCGAATTGCGTTGACCAACTCCTGCACCTTATTCAGATACTCTGTTACAGTCTCAGTTTCTTCCATCATAAGGAACTCGAACTTCCTCCTTAATGCTTGCAACTTAACCTTCTTGTGTTTATCTCCAACACCATAGGTCTTGTCAAGTATCTCCCACGCCTTCTTTGCGGTTTCAGCCATCAAAATTTGATTAAAAATCATGGAGCTAACACACTGATATATCAAGAACCTAGCCTTGCTATCCATCTTCTATTGAAACTTAAAAATTCGTTTCTCTTCTTCCGTAGCTTTTCTCCCAATTTCTACGACACCATTTTCTATTATATCAGCAACTTCTTGAAAGCCGAATATCGCTTTCATCTTAATCTTCCAATCTCCAAAAGATTTGCCATCGAACACCGGCAACCCTCCCTGTATCAATCCTCCAAGACCTCCTGTCATGATAAATCTTGCAGACTTCTTGACCACACTTCAAACGTTTTTTTTTTCAACAGGTTTCTTGATCTGCAACTCCTTGATCTTCGAAGACCACGTGAAAGAAACCTCCAAGATTTTCTAGACTTCACACTTTCAAGGTCATAGAACGAACTCAGCTCTTGATACCATATTACGTACAAAGGAAAAACAGAGTGAACGTAAAGGGTACAGGAAAAACAAAGTTACTGAATAGTACGTGTGTTGCATGCATGCATGCAACTGAAGTTTTATTTATATCAGAAAACAGATAACAGAAAAACAGAATTTGCAACAGAAACTTTTTAGTTTGACTTATTCAACAGTTGTCAATGTGTTAATTGCTATTGGAAATTGAAATTATGCAAGAGGAGAATATATAATTATAATGATTCCTGTTTATATTTGAAAATACTTATTTTTTTCTTGTAGTTAATTCATGTTTACTCTCACTTTCAAGCGTAAGTTTTTCAATTGACAATCTATGCATGTTTCTTGCAAAAAGATTTTAGGTAGAAAAGCGATACCTGTAGGGTTTTTCTGTCTGAACTGAAAGTTGAACAATCTATTTGTAAAGCCTAAAATCTGAAGATGTTCCTCTGCACCTTCTTGTTATATTAGAAAATTATACAAAAAAAAGAAGTAAAACAGTATAATTTGGACACTCCTTTAATATTTCAGTTTTATTTGTTGAGAAAATAATGTATCTGCGTGAAGAAGCATATTACCTGATGACGGGTTGTGGTAGCATAAGAAAATAGAGAATTAGATTCTGTCTACTATATTATAGACATACTTCAGGAAAAAGAAAAGAAATTGTAGATTCTGATGCACGTTTTATCTTGTCCTGTGTTATATACATGCAGATACTTTTGTTGTTAAGTCATAAATCAGTTTCACCACTTAAGATCCTATTAGAAGCTGCCAAAATGTCGCGGAAGGGTTTAATGGAACAAGACCTGAGTAAGTTGGATGTCACAAAGTTGCATCCACTTTCTCCAGAAGTCATATCTCGGCAAGCTACTATTAATATTGGTAATATTTTCTCACATTTTGAGATTTAACACTTAGAAAATGTAATTAAAATGTACTGATTGTGTAAAAGATTATAATATCTAATCATAGATTGCCATGTATGTTCAAACTGTTGGCTTTTGTAAAAATATTTTTGAAGTCATACATAGGGTGATTTATATTTGGTTGGTGGTGTACAAATCTGTACACTGATGCCACATGAAAAATAAACTGTACAAATTAAATTGTGTAAGCTTCTTTTCCAATTGTGACTGTTGATACTGATGTACTGAATTGCATCCTGACAGGCACTATTGGTCATGTGGCACATGGCAAGTCAACAGTTGTGAAAGCAATATCTGGTGTCCAGGTATTTATTTGTCTTGGAATGTTTTTCTTTCTTATTAAGTGGTTTAGGCCTAACTTAATCTTACAAAACCGACTTATAAGAGGAAGATTGCCTCCCACTTATATACTGCAGTTTGGAACTATCTTTATTTGATGTGAGACACTTGTTTTTTTTTTCCATATACACCCCTGATAACTATTGGATTTGGTACATGAATAACATGGTGAGTGATCTTTGATACCATCTTACAAAGTGGTTTAGGATTAACTCAAGTCTACAAATCTAGCTTCTAAGGCGAGGATTGCTCCCATGGTGTTTAGGAATGAATTTTTATCGGGAACCCATTTAAACAAAGATTATTGATGTGATTTTTTTCATATGGATCAGAGTATTTACTCATCAGCTTAACTGCATGGCTATTGCTGATGATTAATATAGTTCAGTCAACCTAAGTAAGCAACTTGTAAAACCTGGTTAGTGGGTTTCGTTCAGTATTTTAGTTTGTCATGGATAAATTCTGTTTGTATATGGAAGCCTGACTCGGGTTCTCATGAGTCACTCCGTGGCTGATGGCAGACTTCCTCTAAGAAGTGGTTATCTTCTTCTAGAGTCTATGTGGTTGTTTGACAGCGTTTAATCAATTTCTTTTGTTTTCTGATTTGAAAAGCAGGATTACCGATAAGCATGCCATATTTTATTCTTAATGCATGCTATCATACATCTTTGGATATTTAAATCGTTGACCTTTTGTTGTTTCCATGAATTTTGTGCAGACTGTGCGTTTCAAAAATGAGTTGGAGCGTAACATTACAATCAAGCTTGGCTATGCAAATGCAAAAATATACAAGTGTGAAGATGAACGGTGTTCAAGGCCTATGTGCTACAAGTGGGTTTTTATTTTTACAATTTCCATTATGATATCAGGTTATTTTAACTTCTGGTGTGCTGATAATTTTTTCCAACAGGGCTTATGGAAGTGGGAAAGAAGATAGTCCTATGTGTGATGTGCCAGGGTTTGAAAATAGCAAGATGAAATTGCTGAGACATGTTTCATTTGTGGATTGTCCGGTAAAGTTCTGGAATTGCGTTATTATTTTGGGCTGCTTTTCATTATATTTTATTTTAGCTGTAATATTGGATAAACCTGCACATTTGGTTAGATATATCATCTCGCCTTGTGGATATTTTTGCCCAATTTCTTAAATGGAAGGAAGATATGGGGTATTATGTGTGTATGCATGATGTATGTTTGAATATACACACAAATTGGAAAATCCTTATGTGCTGTTGAAGAAGAGAGATCTCTTGCTCTGTTCTAATAGATGTGTACCCCCTCATCTGTGTTAGTCATTACTGTCTTTAGTTACACTAATATTGCTATAGAAGTGGTAGTAGTATACATTCAATGTTATAGAGTAAGAAATATGTGATGCTTAAGAAACCCAATATATACTGGTTCAGAATATTGAAAAATTGTGTTTATTGTAGAAATATGAATGTGACCATACAAGAAGGGGAGATTTTGGTATGGCTCGTCAAGGAAAAATTACCTAATTTGTTAAAGTGGTTTGGATATATGCAATGGAACTCATTGGATGTACTGCTTAGGAGAGTAGATTGCATTGCATTCTTTTTATTTCTGTGAAAAGAGGTTGAGGGAGACCAATGACATTGAATGAAAATATTAAAAGGGATCTCATGGTGAATATTATCCTCGATAGTATAGGCTTCTAACTGAGTCTAACAACATTGATTGATGTAACTGACCTTACGAAGATAGATAAAACTATTGCTGTTATTTATTGATAGAAAACTATTGTATTTGTGGTATTTGAAATCTGGTTTGTTCTCTTTTCAAATCTTAGAATAACCCTTGCTAATCTTTCATTCTCTTATTCATGGCCTATAACTTTACCCACTTTAATCAGCTCACTGACCAAATAACTAAAGGGGCTGCACAGAGCACCTAAGATTTTTTTCATATATATCTTGTGCTTTTACTCTTGGGTATATAAGCCATGTAACTACAGTTCTCCAATCAAATGGCTTAATGTTTAATGTATATATTTTTTTTTTACATGTGTATAATATTTGTTTTTACATTTCCAACTTCTGTAGGGACATGATATTCTCATGGCTACTATGCTTAATGGAGCAGCAATCATGGATGGAGCTTTGCTACTCATAGCTGCTAATGAAAGCTGCCCACAACCACAAACCTCTGAGCATTTAGCTGCTGTGGAAATTATGCGTCTACAGCATATAATAATCCTTCAGAACAAGGTTGACTTGATCCAAGAAAATGTGGCAATCAATCAGCATGAAGCAATTTCAAAGTTTATACAAGTAAATTTCGTTTAAAGAGATTTCTTTTACACAAGTGAATTCCTTGTGAATAACCTACATGGTAATTCTCCTCCTTTCCTGTGACTTGCCAGGGAACTGTAGCTGATGGTGCACCAGTAGTACCTATTTCAGCACAGTTAAAGTATAATATTGATGTTGTGTGTGAGTATATTGTGAAGAAGATCCCAATCCCTGAGAGGAACTTTGTTTCTCCACCTAATATGATTGTAATTCGATCATTTGATGTCAATAAACCTGGGTTTGAGGTTGATGAAATAAAAGGAGGTGTAGCTGGTGGAAGCATTCTGAGGGTAAGTCTGTTGGTCAATTTCCTATGTCATACTTGATTTGCACGGTTGTGCACTTGCAAATATTAAAATCACAAATGATGTTGGAATGCGTAATTTTTAAAATGTTTAATACATGCTATTTTTATTTCTAAATTAAAATCAAGCAATGAAATAAACCCTGTATGGTATTTGTGTCTAATACCAATTAAGCTTGTAATGATGAGCTTCCTAGTGGATTAAAGCCATGCACATCAGACTGATATGACAAATTGTTCTTTGCAGGGTGTTTTGAAGGTGAATCAATTCATTGAAGTTCGACCTGGCATTGTTGTTAAAGATGAGAGTGGAAATATCCGATGCACACCCATATACTCAAGAATAGTTTCATTGTATGCTGAACAAAATGAGCTTCAATTTGCTGTGCCTGGAGGCCTTATCGGTGTTGGGACAACAATGGATCCCACATTGACACGTGCTGATAGGTTGGTAGGTCAAGTTCTAGGAGAGGTCGGATCACTACCTGAGGTTTTTGTGGAACTCGAGGTAAGTTATACTTAGTTATCAATTTATGTCTGCTGCCTGTAATGAGTTATCACTCTACTTTGAGTTTTGTAATTCATAAGATGAGTGAAGATAAAAATCTTTATAAAACCTTCATTCATCATCTCTTTTGCTTTTGCCAATCTGGTGGGATTGGGTTGGGCCAGTGGTCAAGATTTGGACTTCCCTAAACTCTAAATATGCTTTGTAATTCAGGCTTGTGCTACAACTATTTTTGGTGTCAACTCTATTCTATATTGGTCTTGTAGGTAAACTTTTTCCTACTTAGACGGCTTCTTGGTGTCCGAACAAAAGGGTCAGAGAGACAGGGGAAGGTATCCAAGCTAGCTAAAGGAGAGATGCTAATGTTGAACATAGGATCAATGTCAACGGGGGCTAGAGTAATTGCTGTGAAGAATGACTTGGCAAAGTTGCAACTTACATCCCCTGTGTGCACAAGCAAGGGTGAGAAGATAGCACTCAGTCGACGTGTTGAGAAGCATTGGCGTCTTATTGGGTGGGGCCAAATCCAAGCTGGAATCACTCTTGACGTCCCTCCTGCCCCCCAACTTAGTTGAACTCAGACAAGAAACACCTGCAGCAGAGCTATAAAAACCGGAGAAGAATTGAGTTATGTGGGAAGGGAGAAAATTATTGGGAACCATTTTTGTGAGGTGGAGAAGAAAACGTTTTGATTGTCATCTATTTTTGTTTTCACATTGTTATTGTTTTGTTCTGCCCATGTACCTATTATTGAAGTTGAAGTTGTATCCTATGCCGACTGAGTTCAGGCTGGGAGCGAGTATCTCAGCAAAAGCTTGTTTAATTCATACCCTCTTTACCAATATGCGTTGCTGCTGCTCCAGCACCTTTTACTATTATTATACGTGGTAATACATGTTGCAATGATGCATGAAAGTAAATAACGTTATTTTTATTTGAGTGAAAGGTTTATTATTTCATTATTAAGTAAAGAATTAACCATTATTTTATTTTAACGCGCAAACTTGAAGGAAGACCTCAGTATCACGTTACTATGAATATTAAGATATTAGATAAATCTAATAAAAAATATTTTAATTTTAAAATAATAAAAACAAAATCAAACTTGTATATTTAGACCTTATATTTGTAGGACCATATTATATATATATATGTGTGTGTGTGTGTATGTATAAGGAGTTGGATAATAAATTTTTAATTTCAAAAATAATTTCAGGATTAATTCTTCCTTCTTTGTGATCCATGTACAAAGGAATTTGAGACTGAACGTTCTCAAACTCTTAACTTCTTTCAATGAAAAAAAATAAAAGTAAAATGAAAAAGAACAAAATCCACCAAATAGATAAAAATACACACTGTGGAAGAAGACACAGATCCTTATTATTCTACAAACTACAAAGAATACAATAGGAAATTAACAACGAGAAAACACGGTGACAAGCACAAATATGTGGCATGATTCAATCAGAAGCAACAATCCAGGGCGCAGCAGCAACATAAAGCAGCACAACTGCAAGTAAAGAAGGAAAAAAAAAAAAAAGAGTTAAAACAAATATTTGGTGCATGTTCCTGAAAAATTTAGTGAATTTGGCTGTGAACTTACCATCCTTTCCAAAATCCATCACCCCTGCTTGTGGTTTCCTCTGGAACCCTTTGTTGGGGGTACCCTACTGCTGCAGGATCATCCTTGGAAGGATAGCCCATAGGTGGTGGGGTACTGCTGACATATGGAGCTGAAGAATAGGCCTGAACCTGTGGTGCAGATGATACTGCAGCATCATAATAATATTCATCTCATCAATCCCATTTAGAAAGATACTCACAATTCACATAGAAATTAACAAATTAACTTTAACTTAAGCTTTATGTAAAGCCTACATAGGAAACTAATCAATTAAAAAGAAAGTGAACATCATTGAATATGATTTGAATCACATAGGAAAGGAAACCATGGTTTATGGTGCCAAAATAGGAACACTTTGCTGAATGATGCAATAAAAACTCACCAGGGACCTCTTGCTGATTGTTGAAGTGATTCATGATGAAGATGATGAAGTTACTCTTTTGTTATGCAACCAAGTGTTTAAGAGAATGTGAAGTGGGAAAGTATGGCATGGAATATGCATGTGAAGTAGTAGTATATATAGATTTTTTGGGGCTACGTTACTGAATAGAAAAGAAAATGAAATTGCGTGTGGGAAGTGTACAAACGCGTTGTTATTATTATTATTATTATTATTAATATTATTATTATAGATAAGAAAACTAAGATGGTCTTTGCATATGAAACTTCTGTGCCAGGTGGGTCTGTTGTGGGTTGCCACATTTCGTTCCAAATTCTCAACTTCCACACGTAGTTTTGTTTCAAACATTTGGTCTTCCTTGACTGCGTCGTCATTGGTCCTTTGTGTTTTTTTTTATGCACTTAATTCACATTTTGCACCACATAAACCAATGACTCAATGAATGTGCATTTTCTACCAAAAAGGAAGAAAAATAATGCAACTAACTATTTTTGGGTAACGCAAGAAGCTTGTCTTCTTTCTAAATCCTACTTATATTTTTTATGGTATGTTTGATTGGATGGAAAGAAAATTAAAAAAGAGGGAACACTACAAAACTTGTTAAGCACAATACTTAGAGAAAATTAGACAACCTTAAAATATGTAAAAACCTTTTTTACATGGAAAATGATTAATACCAGTAATATCATGGTCATTACTTTTACATCAACCAATTATATAGAAAACAAACTATTACAACAACACGTGATTGTGCCACAACCTTATTTTAAAAAGTAATTAAAACAAAAATATACACTAATAATTACCTAAAACTAAGAGTCAATAGAGCAACAAGTGGATGTCAATACTGAAAATGGAGAAAAGAGACTTAACGTGGAATTAAAAAAAATATTTGATTTAATGTTTTAAAGTGTTGAATTCATAATAATTTTTAGAATATATAAACTGAAAATGAATTTTGGATTATATTTTCATAAATGTACCATGAATTTAACAATTCAAAATTTATTTTTAATTTTGTTTTTTGAAAATATATTCTAGATTGTTGAATCGAAACGTATTTTTAAAAAATAATTCATAACTATTTCCAAATTATGTTGTTTGATTCGTTTTCCAAACATTATTTAGATTGAACTTTTCATAAGCTTTTCAAAACGTTTAAGAAATAATTGTCAATAATATTTTGGAATGTTGACTGTGAAAAAATTAATTCGAAAAATTTCAGAATAAACTTTTTATAACTTATTTACATTAAAGATAATATTATTATTTTAGATAAATATGAAAGTGCAAGAAATAATTCTCATCTTTATAATTATGATTTGATATACTTTCATGTAGTGATATATAATTATGGTAATTAAGAGGTCATGATGATCCTTTATTTTATTTTTTTAATTTATCTATTTATATTTATAATTTTGATAATAATATTAAAATAAAAAATGAAATATATCATTAAAAATAATCGAAGGAGTGTATTAAATAAATAAATAAATAAATAATATACTTGATTTTCTACTTTTTAAATTCATTTTTCATCTCTTTCCTTCTTAGCTCCATAGATACAATCAGTTTGGAGAATTGTATTCTTCTTATGATAGTTTAGTTTGATAAAGTAGATGTACTTTTTTTTTTCTATTTTTCCACGGTATATTATTATTGATTTATTAGAGAAATATTTATTATTTTTTATAAACTATTATGATTTTATAATTAAAAAAAAATCTATTAAATTTTAATTAAAAGTTTAATTAAATTCTTAAAAATAATTTTTTTACGCTTAAAATTTATTTAGTATTTTTAAAAATATATAAAGTATAAAATAATAGATTCATGTGTTTTAAAATAAAAAAAATTGACTTACGGAGATCAAACATGATAATGATGATTTCATTATTTAATTAAAGAACTCCTTTTTAAGATTTATTAAATTACACCAAATTAAATTTATATTAATTATTTGAAATGTGATAAAAAAACGATTTCAAATATATAAATATTCAAAAAATATTATATATTATTTTGGTTCTCTAAACTTATCAAACACAATTATCATATATAATTAAATAACCACCCACAATTATCATATATAATTAAATAATAATTCATAATAATTTATCATAATAACAAGAAATTACCAAGACCATATTACAATTTATTAACCATAAAAATAAACTAAATTTAATAAAATAAATCATATATATATATATATATATATATATATATATATATATATAATCAAATCATAATTTACAAATCAGTTTAAGAATAATTTTAATATATTCTCCTCGTTTAATCTATTGAAACATCTTTAAAAACAAAATTGTGATAAACAAAAACTTCGAAACCTATAATAAGACGAGGACATTATCAATTTTTAACCAGAACATATATATATATATATATATATATATATATATATATTAAAAATACATTATTTTTTATTTGTTTAAAATATATAATTTTTTAACTAATCCTTGCTAATAAATATATAATAATTCTTCAAATAGTTCTATCATTCCTATTCTTATTTAAAATAAGTCTTGAAATAGAAAAAAATAAGAAATAAAAATTAATTTTGAAAATTATATTTTAATTTTGAAAATTTTATAATTAATATGAAACTATTATACTTGTCATTCTAATTATTTAATTGAACATTAACTTTTTACAACTTAAAATAATTTAATTATTAAAATATTATATTTAATTATTAACACTTAAACCTTTATATAATATTTAATTCTTAATTTTTAAATCATATAGTCTGTTAATGAAAGATTATGATAAAATGTGAATATTTCTAAATCCTCTAAAAATATCCTCGTTAAATATGAATTTTATATCCTCAAAAATATTCTCGTTATCATAAAATGTTTCAAAATAATTATTATATTTTTTCTTCTTTCCATTTTTACTTATCTTATAATTTTTTAAAATTAAATAAAAATATTTTATAAATATTAATGTAAATAAAATTTTAAATTCTTCTTGTCTTAATTTTTATTTATAATAAATATATAAATTTGTACTTATATTTTTTTCTTCTTTCCTTCTATTTTTTGGATTTTATCTTCTTTTCTCACTTATTTCATTTTTTTCACTTCAACTTTTCTTATCAAACATCAATTTTATCTCTTTTATATTTCTAGTTTTCATTTTTATCACTTATTTAAGTTAATATTCTTCTTTTTCATAATTTCACCTTTTAATATAAAAATGGTAAATTTTTTCTTTAATTTTCAATTTTTTATTTTTTATAATTTCATCTTTATAACATAAAAATTATAATTTTTTAATTTTTTTAAGGCATAAAGCATAAATAAAAAAATATCTCATAATATTTTTTTAAAATGTAAAAAAGGTAAATAAAAAATTATCTGGATGAACTATAAAGAAAAAATATATATAAATTTCGACCTCAAACATAAGACTTATCCACTTGCCGAATTATTAATTGGATATACCTTGTTAATTGAAATACACGTGAGTTTTGGTTTCATTTATCCAATTAAAAACGGTCTTATCCAAAAGCTGGCAAAAAAAGTCAATATAGTTACTTCCTTACTTACTAATCCATCTACACTGTTATTACTTCTAATAATAAAAAATTGACAATTTTCTTATTATTAAATATAAATAAGTTGTAATTATTTTTTTTGTTTTATATTTTTTGTTCTAAAATATTTAACACTAAATAATATGTTTTAAGTAGGTAATTTTGCTTATAAGAACAACATTTAAAAAATATATATTAATAATATTTAATATATTTAACTCTTTTTCCAATTTATATAACATTTTTAATACATGTAAAAATATTATTGTAATATATAATGTTTAGGTTGGATTTATTTTATTTTTTATTAAACAGTTAGTCGAATGAAATATAAAAATAATTTTAATTAAATTTAGTTAATTTAAATTTAATATAAAAATAAACTGGTATTTTATAATTTAAATTTTGATTAATATAAAATTATTAATTTTAAAAAAATTATTTTTATAAATATTTATTAAATGTTTCATAGTAAAAACTCATCAAATAAAAATATATTATATTTTTTAAAATTAATGTTATATTCATTATTTTAATTTACTTTATATTTATAAATCAAATATAATTGAACTATACTTAAAAAAAAGACATAATCATATTTATTTGTTATTAACATATTATATTATATTATATTTAGATATAATAGTTTAATTTATTTTTTAATAAAAATGCATAATTTAAAAAATAGTTTAATAAAGTTATATATTTTATTTTTTTATAGTATATTTGTTTTAAGATTTGCTTATATAAATCAATAAAAATATAAATTCAACTATTTGTATATATTTATTGTATTTTTTAAATAATATTTTAATTATTTTACTCTTTTCTATATCTAAACTATTAATAATAACTTGTATTTTTTTAATAAATACAATTAAAAGATCATATATGAATAAAAAAATCTAATACCATTCTTAAATCTTATAAATAAGAAATATATAAAAATAATTTAGAAAAAAAATAGACAATTAAAAAGCAGGATAAGAATTATTAATTTTTAAGAAACTCACTTTCAGCCATTAATAAACCATTGAAAGTATTACTGTAAATAACTATTCATCATTCGTTTGATTAACTCATTCCCTTTCCAAATTACAAAAACATCATCAACATACAATTTCCAATCCCCTAACATAATTTTTTGTAGTACACAAATATCAGTATTAGACAAATACAGAATTAATTTGGTGAAGAAAATAACAAGAGACAAAGAACACAGTCCCAAAATCCGTGAAGCCAATCAGAGACAACAATCCAGGGCACAACAACAGCACAATCCAGCACAACTGCAAGAGAAAGAAAGTAAAATCTCTGAGAAATCAAAACATAAATACATGGAAAGAAAGTTCTGTAATAAATATATTACTCAAGAAATTATGAATTTTTTATATAGACCCCAAAACAATCTTGTTTAAAACTAGGTTAAAAAAAAAGATAGTCTATTATTTAATGCAGTTTCTTATTAAAGACTCAAATTGAAGAACAGTTGAAATTGTTCCAGATCAATTGATCAACAGTTTTTAGTATGATTTCTAATATAATTTGTTGAATTAAGATATTCAACACAAAGGTTTTTACTTTATAAATTTTTTAACCTATGTTCTTAATATACTTGTCATCAGAAGTTCCCTGATAAATTAGATAAACTAAAAGGTATATATGAGTTATTAACTCACCATCCTTTCCAAAAGCCATCACCCTTGGCAGTGGTTTTGACTGGAACTGTTGGTTGAGCAGGATCATCATGTTTGGTGGGATAACCCACTGGTGGTGGTGGAGCTGTGAGGTTGCTCTGATTCACTGGGTATGCAGTCACTGGTGTGGTGAAAAATACAATTAATACCATAAAAATTGATACTTTTCATTCTGAATGTAAAGCATGGATTTTTAACAAACCCCACCAATATGATCAACCCATTGATCATGTTTGACACCCCAAAACAATGAAAAATATCATTTTTGGTTAATTTTGAAGAAAGACTACTGTTAATAATTTAACGATAAATATAAGAAGGGTTTTACCTGGAGTTTGTTGTTGGTTGTTCATGGTTAGAAGTACGATGAAATTGGTGTTGATTTTCTTTTGTAATGAGGCAGAAAAAAATAGAGAGTGAGATCAGGTGATTATGGTGGGAAGAACAGAAGAATGATGTGTATTTAAATAGATTTTTGAGACAGAAGAAAAACGCGTTTTAGGTGACAGAAGAAAAAGAAAGAGGAAGGTGCAACGAGACCTAGTTTGCATTAACTCTTTAATAAATCTCATTTAATATTTTTTACACACTTTAATGTTATTTTTAGTCATGAGTATCTCCAAATAGTTAAATATAATTTTTATACATAAAATGGCTTAAAATGTATATAAACAAATTTACAAAATAATATTTGTAAGTACTTTTTTTATGTATCATTTATATTAAAATAATTTTTTAAAAATAAATTCATAAGAATTTTAATAAAATAATATTTTAAGTAATTTTATATTAAAATTCGAAAAAATTAAATGAATTTCTTTTATTTAAACATTTCATAATTTATTCTTACAAAAAAAAATGTAAGAAATTTCCTTTAAAGATTATTTTATTTACACAATTAACTTTTTTAATTTTAAAAATGATTTTTTTTCTTAAGAACTTATTGTAAGCGATGAATTATGTATAAAATAGTGTTTTTGAATTAAAGGTGTAATGATCATACATTAACATAAAAGGAAAAGTTATAGTTAGTGTGATTTTTAAAATATTTTTCTATTATAATTATTTTACTAAAATTGTATTTAATGTGATTTCTGATTAAAAAAGACATAAAATCTATAATCAGAAATTTAATTGAATAAAATATTCTGAAAGAGCTAGTTATGGTACTAAAAGTATAAGTATATTCTAAAAAGAAAAAAGAAAAAATAGGCGAACATGGGCGAGACCTGAAAGATGCAGCAGTCTCAAAACGGCGCCGTATCTGATTCTCAACGCACATCGCTTTTAGCCTGTTCCGACTGCGCCCATGAAAGTGTAATCAGTGCTTTGAAACTTTGAAAATCTTCGGTAGTTTAACCGCTCTAACCAATAATCAACCTAAATATTCCATACTTTGTCTATTTCTTAAATTTAATCTAATTTTAAAATATTGATGACATTTTTCACACCTTAATAATTTTTTTTGTTTATTTCTTCTTTTTAGTTATTAATTACTTATTTAATGAAAAGTAATAAAGAATTACGTTAATAAAAATTAAAATCAGTTCATTTTTCAAATTTGAATCAAATTAATCATTCTAAAACGTAACTTTGATTTTAGAGCATGGTTTTGAATTCTCCTTTTGATTCAAAGTGTGAAACTTGCATAATTAAATTCACTTACATATAAATTCAGTAAATTAAAAAAATAAAAATATAAAAGAAGAAAATAAATCTTAAAAAAGTATAATTATTGGTGCAGGAGGAATATATCCCTTTTCGAATGCGTAAAATATTGAAATGTGTAAGAGAGACACGTCATTCCAATTTGTTTAATAGAATTCAAAGAGAAGAAGCTTCCTTAGCCGAGAAGATATTTCTTACTTGGCGGAAGAATCCACCCATTAGTTTTGTCTTACGTGGCATTTATTTCTAAATTAGTGTATTAATTAATGATAAGACTTAGGGTTTCAAACACCACTTGGTTCAACTTTTATTGGATAAACATTGGTTACATAAGTTTTATATATAAATTATTTTAAAAGTATGATGACCTATTTTTATATAAGTTATAAGTGTTTATAAAAGATTTATTTATTTTTATATAAATGTTTGCATATAAACAGGACGGTCATGATTGGTTGTTGTTGGGATTCTTATTTTAATATTAAGATGATTTTATTATTTAAAAAATAAATATTAGATAATTTTATTTTTTGATAAGTTTTTTAAATAAAAGACGCATTAGAAAAATGCTTTTAATATACTCAAAACAATTAATGATATTATTAATTAATTTAATTTATATTTAAATCCGAAATACTAGGTAAAATCATATGTTTTATATTTCAAACAGCAATGGTTAGGTGTGGCCCAGATATGCCCTTACTAGGGGTAGCAGCTCTAATTACTAGGGGAGGCTACTCTTATTCTATGGATCAATAATATTCAACTTCCACTTTGAAAATTATTCAAATCAAACTTATATATATATATATATATTTATTTATTTATTTTTTCATTCTTTTTTATCCAACATAAACCTAATCATTTCACTTGCTGCTTTTGTTCTCTACACAGAATTCCAAACTGGTAGCATCTTTTTTTTTTTTATTATTATTATTATTATTATTATAAAGGGGTCAAAACTTTAGTGCTTAAATAGTGTTAAAATGCATTTTTGTTTAGTGTTAATTTTATAAAGTTACATTTTTTTGTGAAAAAATTATTTTATAAAAAAATTATAGAATATATTATAAAATGTATTTATGTGGTGTAAATACAATTAAAATAAATAAGGTACGGATTACTTTATTACTATAAAAAAGAATTTGAGTGTTTATTTCAAATTAGAGAGATGTAATATAATTTATAAAGACATCAAGGATATGAGTGTAATTTCATTTTCATTTTTATATGACAATTAAAAGATTATTTGAAATTAATTATATATTTCACAAAGTCAACCGTGCATTAAATATTTTCCTTGGACCATCTTAATCCACATTTTATAATATCACAAAACCAATAATTATCAAGCAAAGAGATAAATAGTATATTAAAAATATTTTAGGAAAAACATATTGGAAAGTTACATTATATTTTTTTCTATGAAAATTGAAAATATTAGTTGCATTCTTTAATATAATTTTCAAAACATTAAGTGAGTATAGAATGCTCTCAGTTCCTTTTTTTTTATAAGATACAATTACTAAATTCAACCATATTAAGTAAGACATTGTTCTTTTAGATTTTAAAAGCAGTTTAAAAAACAATTTTGAAAATTTGTTTTAAAAAATAAGGTAGAAAATAACTTTTTTGATAATTTTTTTTAAAATCATTTTAAAAAAAGGATATTGATAATAAAGAAAAAAATAATGTTAATAATTTTATAATGATAAAAATAAGTGATACAATGTAAATGTAATTGTAGTAAAAATATTTACACACTATAACACAACTATCATTTATAATATTTAATATTATATTATTATAGGAAAAAAACATCTTTAATAATAATTCCACTACAATTTCATATCTTAAATACATATTGAAATTAAAAAATATATAATATATTTTTTATAACATTTATAAATAAAAAATTTTTTATAAAACTATGGTGTAGATTTATTTTGAAAACTAATAATTATATAAATAAACGATTTGATAATATAATCACATTCACAATATTATAATTAATATCTAATTAGGAAATTTAATTTCACAAGTCATAAATATATTCTTTAATGTATATAAAATAAAATATATGTAGTGATAAATTGAATATATATATATCTATATATATATATATATATATATATATATATATATATATATATATATATATATATGATAAAATTTGCAAATAACAATTTTATTTATATTTAATTGAGAAGATAAATGTGATCAAGATGAAATAATGAGAAATCATTCTAATTAATATATTTTTCAACTCTTTATTCTCTCGTTACATTGGAAAAATTTATTTATTTTGGTTAATGATTTAAAATACTTTATTATTAATGAAATATATATTCAATATATATTCTTAATATTCTTTGAGGAATTATTGAAGTGGATATAATTAAAGCATATACAACACACCAAATAATCCTTAAATAGGAAATAGTTAGTTGTTGACTAAAACCAACTACAAAAAGTAGTGTATTAGGTAATTTATTCGTTTGATGTAAATTTGTATACTATAATATATTTAATTATACAACCCGAAGTAGAGAGTTTTAATTTCATGACTAATAATTTTTTAATCAATTTTAAACACTATATGATTTTACAATTTATTTTATATATAAATATAAATTAAATATTTAACATCAATTTTAATTAATACACAATATTTGTTAAAAGTACAGATGTAATTTTACCATTTAAGAAAATTTTCCTTAATTTAAATATAAGTTATTGTTAAATTAATTAAACTAAGAATTTCACAAACATTTGATTTCAATTAGATAAAACATATATGACCACCTAATCAATAAATAAATTAAAACCATAAAATATGTAAATGTTCCACACAGAAGGTATATTGGTTTACAAGTATCACCATATTAGATTTAAAAAATACACAACACTAAATAAAAAATCTTTAACATAATTAAAAATGCCGTTGATTTTAAATCTGTCATTAATAGAATAATAATTATATGTGACAAATATTTTAAATTCAGATAATTTAAAATAAATACAAATGCGTTAAGAATATATACCACGATTCTATGTATAATTATATAAAATATTATTTTTAATGAAAATAATTTTTTTATGATCTATCACCAATAAAGTGATTAGTTATTCACTCTAATAAAAAATATTAATATAAATAACATTCACATTACTAATAAAAATCATTATTTTCGTAAAGAAAAATCCTTAATTAGAATCATAAAAATATATTTCTCTAATATTTTTTTTATTTCTAATATATTTTAACTAAATGTTATACTACACTAAATAAGATATCGATATCCTTATTGTCTCAATGATATACCTATATACAAAATCAAAATTTAATTATTTTGCACTTATATGGATAAATAGACTAACATAAAAATTTTATAAGTCATGAATAAGTTAAACTTTGACAGATTATATTTCTTTACTTTGTGATATTTTCGTAAAGTAAAACTCAATTCAAAATATTTAAGAAATTAAAAACAAATTCTCTAATTAAAAAATGATTTATTGTATATATTATTATCTAATTTTCTTTATTATCTTATAGTTTAATTTAAGATGAAAATTTAACTTCTTTTTCCTAATTTTTTTCTTGGCCTTTTAGTGTATATATATAAGTTTTGAAGAGAAGAATGAGTTAATAATCCTCAATAAACTTATAGACCCTTTAAGA